TTTTTTCATTATCTCTATTATTTTACTATTCCATTTCTTTTCCTTTTATCTCAAGAAAAGATAATATCACTATTTTCATTAACAGACTGTCATGCCCGGGTATTCATTGTCAAGTCCTAAACTGATATATACATCGGTGCACTTATGTACAATTTATATAGAACTAACTTATTGAATAGATTAATAGTTATAATAGCTGTGACTATTATCAATACTATGATAAATATTATTATTATCCAAATATTAATTAATATAACATTTCTTAAAAAGAATAGATCTAAATTTAAAAAATTAAATTTCCTCAATATATTCTCGCATATCTGATTTACTGCTGCTTCAGATCCGCGGCTACCAGCACACGAGGCACTCGGACAAAGCTGAATGCACGGGCGTATATTGGGTATGGGGGGCAGCCGGCTGGGAAGTAGATCGTAGATAGTCTTGGTACATACGTCTTAATCCCGACTCTGATCAACGTGTTCAATGGGAATATTACGATCCTATCGAGTCTTCCATATCTAGCAACTTCCGGAGTGGAAGAGTGTTACCCCAGATTTCGAGTAGTGTTGGGTGGATCTGTGTAAAGGTTTCTAGAGTCTGTAGGTAAATTAATGAATTTATAGAAAGGGTTGTGCTGGTCAAAGTCATGTTCGATTCGATGGAATAAAACGTTATCTCTATCTTAGTTCACTGAAGTCGAAGCCTTCGTCTTCTCTCTCACCAAATCCACCGTAGCACAGTGGAAGGACCCCCCAATACTATTGACATGTTTAAACGGACACCGGATGCACTTCATCCCCAGCGACTCAAACCATTGCGCCGTCTGGACATCGCTGATCTCCACGACGACTCGTTCTCCATCCAACACCAACGCATTCAAACACAACCACGGGCTAGTCATATACAGTGGGGGGCTGTCCTCGCCTGGCTCCTTAGGTGTGAATGGATACGGTCGAAGGTCCCAGTCCGCTAGAACCGCGTGCTTGCGCAGCGCCGCCTCACTGACTTTCTTGGGGTTGTACGCCAGCAGGCCTTCGCGCAGCGGGAGGATCGTTGCGTCGATGTGCATCGCGTGCGGATCGTCCACCTCCAGCATCTCGATCTTGTAGCCCGTCGGTAACTGTGCCTGGATGTAATCCACTCCGGCTTGGTTGGTGACGTGGCTGAACTGACCGATGATCGTCTGCCCGAACCGCATGAAGTCCGCCGTGTCGAACGCCGGTCGACTGTTATTGATGACCCATTGTCCCGTACCATTAGCACCGCCTGTTCGACTGCTACTGCTACTGTTGGTGCCATCATCACTCTCGTTACTGTCCAGTAAGGTCTCGGCAAACGAGGACGCCGGACGCCGAACAATCGTCACACGCGCATCTCGCGCCAAATCATCGAGGATGGGCTTGAATGCGATCTCAATCTCACGATTGCGACACGGCCAGGCGAAACAAGCTTCGATCAGGGTATTTTGGACGCTCATCAGGCCATCGCGGGGCATGGCGCCCGTGTAGCCGTTCTCATCGAGCCAATTGATCCCCACGGGGGGTCGGTAGACGTTGATGCCCTCGGCCTGGAGGATGGCGGCGAAGTAGTCCAGCTCAGCCTCTGCCTTGGCGATCAGCGTCTCGTCGAAGGGGGAGTGTGGTTGGAAGCGATGGGTGTGCGCTGAGGGCATGGTTGCTTCAATCATTGGCGCCGGGGCGCTGGGGAAACAGGCACGACCGGCGCGGCCTACAATCACGCTTTTGAGTGGGGACCATTCGTCATCTGCTTGGACGGATGGGAAGGTGGCGACCATTTTGGGTTGAGTGTGTGTGTGTGTGTGTGTGTGTGAGAATTAGTAAAGAAAGATATGTAAACCTGGGGTGGGGAGGGATTGAGAGGAGTTGACAGAATAGTAAAGGTAGGTATGCCCTTGGAGATGGCTGGTGATACTTATCGTATTATAAATAATAATCTAGAGGAATTGTTTGATCAATTTCGTAAGGGTTTGATCATGTTCTACTCTGTATATCCTACCGATCTTCAGCTTCCAGATGGGTAGTATAGTATAGCATAGTGGATTTGCAAAACAAAAAACAAAACGAAAAGTTTACAAAACACGAGGAATGAGGTGGATCTACCATACCGGAAAGTCTTTGTGTCTCTCATTCCGGATATACCGACTGACATATCATATGTATCTGTGCCTTCCGGGGTAAACACGATCCTCGCAGTACTACTGGATTGGGCTCCAAGAACGACACGAAGAGAGCACCTTGCCTCATAATTATTCTTCAACAGCAACTGGACCAACTCAGATGTTCCACGTAGTCAATGTAGTTACTCTACCTGCGGGTTTGGTTCTAGACACATCCGTCCGATGCAAGACAACGATAGTATATTTCAAGCGAGTATTGTTTGTGACGGTTAGTCGCAGGCCGTTTCTGGCTGCTTTTCTGAAATTGCTGCGGCCCCCGCGCCTCTTGAGGTCCCGAACAAGATAGTTTTGCCCAACTAACTAAAGCGGTGATCCTAAATACGACTAGCGCATTGTGGATTCAGATGAGGGGAGCTCGCAAAATGTGATCGGCCTATCATTTCTTCTTCCTTAATCGTTATCCGAGTGGCGATCCTAGCGCTGGGTAATGTCGAGATGAGCGACCGCCATCTCCGCCATCAAAAATGCCAGTGTGGTTGGTCGCCAGTAACAGCGGAGTGTGTGTTCCTGAGAGATCATTAGCTGAGATCTCTTGTTCGATCGCCGCTTTGCTGCAAGGTTTGCTGGTGCATGGGTCCTCTTTCTGAGGACGAATCTTCATACAAGGTATACTATTACGAGGGTAAGATATACGCGGTTGAAGAGCGGGAAGCGGGGTATGTTAACACTATTTAAGCCACCCGAACTCCCGTCCTTGCCCCTCCCACCCAGCTTCATCCTCCAACAAACCTTGTGCCCTGGCAAACTGATAACCGTCATTTAAACAATATGCCTTCATACATTGTGAGTGACTAGCTTCCTATACAGCCGCTGAAACCAAATTTGCGTTCGCGAAACTAACCTTCTTGAACTCTGGCAGGTTACGTGTCACGAAGACGCATCGGACGAGGATTTTCAAACGTAAATCTCATAAACTGATGTCATGAAATATGAGCTAATCAATGGGTCCATTAACCAGGGTCAAACAGCAGTGTATTGACCAAGGTGGTAAAATAGGACACGAGTATACGCTCATAAAAGGCTTTTCGTGGGTATCCTCTCAGTCCGTATTCCAAGAGACTTCAACTAACTATCCAATCTTCGAATCATTTTACAGGGTGACTTTTGAGGATGGTAGCATAACGACACTCGAGGCTTCTCCACATGTAAAAGCAATTGAGGAAGACGGTGTGGTTACTACCCAGTAAGCTCAAGGGGAGTTGCGCGAGGTCTTTGTGTTCGGGAATGTGTTTGTCATATAACCAACCTACATTGACTATACAATTGTATTCAGAACACCAGCCCCATGGCACTGAATTCCAAAATATTCTGCCAGTTGGAATCCATGGATAGAACATCACAATACTCGCAAATCTACATACTCATTGCCGTGTATTGCCCCTAGGTCTTGTGATCAGTAGGAAAATTATAAATCCATATCGCGTTCTACGCATTTTACTAAGGATTGCACATGAATTTCAGTCGGCGGTGGGGCATACTTTAAGCGGTCCATGAAGGATGGGAAGAATCAACTCGTGATAATTCTAAGCCCAAAGCGAATGGTGGTTCGTCGGATCTCGGACCGCGGAGTCAGAGAGCTAGATAGAGTGCCTGCATTCTCCATGGCACCTGGAAGTAGGTAATAGCAGCTATTGGAACTGGCCAGGCTATAGTTCATGTGTTCCATAAAACATATAAAGGGAAATAGTTCTTCAGAAGAGGGAGATTCATGATAGTGGCTATGTTACAGATATGATCAGGTGATTCAACCCTTTCCTAACAGAGTATAGTGGATCTTCATATCTCACGATAAGGAGATTCACTACACAACGAGAGAAATAGGCAATCAAGGGACGCGCACGTTTGCCTTCAAAACACCATGATTCTCTTCTCACGATACCATCTCTTCGAGATCGGGGATCAGTCCTGGTGTCCTGAATGGATGAGGGCGTACATCCAATCTTGTCTAACTCGGGTCTGGAATTTGCACATCCCGCCTTTCAGCAAGACCCCTCCAGCAGGTATAGCTGCCGATCTTATTCGCGAGCACGTAAAGGATCCCGACTCCTTCACATTTGTTGATCTCTGTGCGGGTGCAGGCGGGCCAACCGCAACCCTCGAGCATGTCTTGAATGCGAAACTCAGAGCGAAGGGCAAGGGAGCGGCGCGATTTGTTCTTACGGATCTCCACCCTCGCTTGGAGGAATGGTCCGCCATCAGCAGACGTCAGGAAAATATCTCGTTCATCTCCGAGAGTATGGACGCTGTGGAATGTGAGAGAGTGGCCCCGGAGAACCGGAAGGAGTGCAGAATCTTCAATTTGTGTTTTCATCATTTCGATGATTTGCTTGCGTCCACTATATTGCGGAAGGCGACAGAGTCTGCCGATTCTTTTATGTAGGTTCTTCAACTCATATTAGACGAAGAGAAGTGAAATACTAAAACTTGGACTGGTAGAATCTTCGAATTTGCCCAGCGCAATTTCACTTCCTTGCTTAGCATCCCAGTCATGTTTCTTTTCCCATTTTGGTATACGCTTTGTCGGTATTGGAATTCCCCTCGGCATCTGTTCTTCACATATGTTCTTCCTTTGTTACCTTTCCTTATGTCCTTTGATTGCATGGTGTCAATAATGCGTTGTCGGACACCGGAAGAGATTCGAGCGCTGTTGGATCGACAGGACTTGGACCTCAGTGACTGGGAATTTAAAAGCGGGCACCGTATGGTATTCGCACCGTTTGTATCCGTCTACTACTACGTCGGAGTAAGAAAGGAACACTTGCAAGATTGACCCCAAAAGCAATCAGGTGGCAGTTATGCAATTCCAATGGTCGTCTATCCAGTCATGATGTTGCACCGTATTTACGCTTCTTTTATCCGTATCTTACACTCTTCTATAGCATCGTATGCCAGAGTGTTCGATTGTCGCCTTGACATAAGTCCGATAGAGTCAGTCTCATGTGTCATACCGGAATAACCCAAAACGAGATCGCGCATCCATTGCAGGATGCCATCTGGCATGTGGAAAGCGCCTCGGTTTCTGAGTGCTCCATTGACGTTGGCTGTAGTGCGGGGTTTGCGCAAGTCCTCGTAGACTGTGAGCGATTCGAACACCATGTCCCTGAGTGTTATGTCCGAAGAGTCCGGTTGGTTCTCTAGGTGCTTTACAATCGAGCCCAATAGCAAGCCCAGTACAGCGCCATCCTCCGAAGCCATTGCAGCACCCTGGGCCTGATACGGGAGCGTTGGGTGACAAGCGTCTCCGAGTAGTGTGACCGACCCCTAGTGAATCGATACAAATGAGTGGATATCCCGAGGCTGTTCATATAATCTCTAGGATTAACAAACCTTGCTCCAAGTATATAATTCGGGCAGGTGGCATAGCTTCCACCTCACCACGGATGATATACAAGAGATTAACCTCTGAAGACTATGACACGAGTTAGCGTTCAAATCCATCAGGAAAGATAAACTTGGAGATTCGTACGTCGCGTCCCAGTCCCGAAAGCCCGATTTCATTTCCTCCAAATCACCCTGAATGGTACGTGCCCCAGCAGGTAAATTGTCTGGTAGTAGCAAAACTAGGTTAAATTCTGCGCCCCCTCGTACCGGGTAGAATACGGCATGTTTCTCTGGTCCCAGCCAGGCTGTGACAGAAGTTTTGCTACAAAGGCTGTCTATCTCCGGGTCGCAGAGGGCCTCAAGTTGCTTCCTTGGAAACACCGCACGGTAGGCCATATCGCCAGTCTCGATTGGCGGACAATGTCGATCGAAGATTGTGTCTCGGACTTTTGACCATAACCCTGACCACGAATTAGTCCATAACTGTCGGGATATCAGTGACAAAATCATAGACAAACCATCAGCACCGATGATAATATCACCTGCTACTGCCTCCCCACCCTCGAGAATGGCCTGCGTATCCTGGAAATCCAAGTCCTCAACTGTAGCCCCGAAGCGTACCTCTACACCCATCAGCATAGCCCTATCAAACAGAATCTGTTGATAGTCCGCTCGGTGAATGATACTAGACAGACGTGAGACAAGAATACTCAACGGCCCAAGTGATAGCACAGAGTACATACATCCATGGAGCTCCATACGCTCGAGCGACCGTCTCATCACATTCCATGGACGTTATAAGTTCGCCATTCTTGTACCGTCGAAGATCCATCGATTCGACTATTGCTCCTTTCTGCACGACCTCTTCCTTCAGGTCAAGCTCCTGCAAAACCCGCACGCCATTGGGGGGTATTTGTATACCTGCCCCGACCTAAACATATCAAATACACCCCCATCAGACCTGCCTACGCAATTGGGCACTGGTAAATGACGCGTTCTCAATACTTACGGGCAAGAGCTCAGACTACGTTCGAGCACAATCACGTCCAGCTTTTCGCGTCGGCAGGCAATAGCACATGTCAGACCACCTATACCAGCGCCTACGATAATGACCCTCATGGCGGCTGTTTGTCCTGAGTGCTGTTATGGGGATCCCGTTGGGTATGGATGGGGCTACTGGAGGTTACTATCACTAGCGCTAGACGCGGCTGCAGATCCTGCGGGGCTTGTAATTTACATTCCATGCTGGGCAAAACATCTGCTCGGATTAGTCGCGTACAGTGCCCCTTGCTGCGTATGGTGGATACCGTATGTTTTGGCCGAGAATGGTTATGATATGCATTCAGCGCAGATAACCAACACGTTATCCCAACTGAGACGTCTTACTTCCTCTTCTAACGCGTTCTCGAGCTCTTTAGAGATGGCTGTATCGGATTTGATCACCCCGACTATAAGGAGCCGGCTCGATATCAGGCAGAATCACGAGGATAGGCTTATCCGAAGAACCCTCAGTAAGTATCAGTTGCGATTCAGTATTAGCGGGATCGGGTCTATATATATTCTCCATGGTAATTGTAGAATAAAACATTGATGAATAACGCAACTGTGGTAACATTTATTCCAAGCTACATTGTTCAATGCGCAATACCCTACGGCAGAAAGCTGGATGTCAAGTCCGGGAACGTGAATTCTCCAATATCGCCGAATAGAAAGTCATCCATCTGGGGCCCCGTGGAGTCGACAGGAAACTGGACTGGCGCTTTGGCGAATCGCTGAGTTTCATTTGCAAAGCTCTGTCCGCCCGCCGTTGAAATGTACGCATTCTGAATCTGTTGATGGTCCTCGGACAGACTATTAATCCCTAGGCTGGCAGCACAGCCGGCGAGTTTCCGACTGAGACCTGGAGCCATGCGCCGGATTGGATGCTGAGGAATACAGTTTTGGTTGCGGAACAGGTCTAGAACTGCACTGATGAGATGGAACTCATCCTGTACGTTGATAGACAGTTGATCGTGGTGGTTGTGACATATCTCCAGTAACAAATGACCGGCGAAAGCGATCATGATATGAAAGTAGTGCGGCATGCCGACGAGGCTATTTTTAAGCTGGTTGTCATTCAGGATCATCTCGTAGATCCCAACTGCTGCATCGTGGGCCATGTTCGCGGCAGAGACGAAATGCATCGGGATGGGATTCCCATGAAGCCCTTTGAATACCTGATGACCGAGATAGAGTTTGCCGAATTGGTAGTGAAGCTCCAGACCCTTTCTGGGGAAATCGCCGATGTATGCGTTTGTGATGAACAGCGCAGAGAATTTGGCGAACCATTTATCTAGCTGTCTTGAGTAGTTGGTGATATGGTGTGTAAGAGTCGGTGGCAGCTGCGTCTGATTATCGGATCCCAGTACATCTCGCACCTGGCCCATGATTAATAACAGGGACACTTGGGAGAGGATCCGAACGTCTGATTCCGTGGTCTCGGCGCGATGTAGGTATGTTTCCCAGCTCACTGCGATATCTTTGTCGCTGCGCAGGAGAGAGTCACGGTTGTGCAGGATCGAGAGATGTTGATCGCATACGAACAGGAGATACCATAATCTAACTCGATCTACAGAGGTTGTCGGGTTTGCTGCAGATGGGGAGCAAGACTCAGGGTCGCGGGCACCGATGAGATAGTCGAAGCTGCGGTGAAGACGGATGTCTGCCGTCCGTCGAATAGCATCACTGCAGAGGATTCGCGAAGCATCTGCGAGCCAGAACGAGGCGATACACAAAGCCCTGAGATATTCAACGTCGCGCTTTTCAAACAGGGACCGCATCACGAGGGAGCGGAACTCCTTGTTACAAGCTGTGTAGTACTTCTGGTCCTGGGGATCATGGAGGGCTGACACAGTGCAAATCGCGGCAAGGAGGATGGGAGAGGTGGTGCGTAGCTGCTGTAGGTCGTGATGCTCACTACATATTCCGTATAGGTAATGGTCAAGGCGCGAAAAGTACCGATGTAGTAGCTTCTCTGCGACTGCAAGGGACACAGTGCCCTTGGTGATGAGATCATCTCCATGAGTCGCACGACTAGCGCGACGACCCGGTGGTGACTCGACAGATTTAGGACTTCCGAGCTTGGCGATATCGAGAAACGTGTCAATGGGAGCCTGAACGGCAGATGGGGAATCAGGTGGTGACACTTCGCATCCCTCACTTTCCTCACGGTCAGGCTCTCCGCTTAGTGGGATATTTTCCCTCGCCTTTCCACGGTCGGTTACGAGTGGCTTTGGCCGCCCGAGATCCAAGTGTTGGCAAATGATGTCGACTGTGTCGTGCAAGTTCCGCAGGTCAGATTGTACCAGCTCCACACTTCTGATCCCAGGGTAAGCATGTGTATGATGTTCTACATCACATTTAGCGGGGAACTCACTTCACGTCTTCCACCAGCGACTGCAGACTACGATTCAACACGCAGGAAAGCGACCGGCGTCGACACCGAATACAGGGAGGGCCATCCTCCGGCATGTCACATCGGATCTAATGGAGCATTAGAGTAGGCGCTTAGCAAGTGGAGGAAGGGCCCACCTTGTTCTTCCTACAGGCCGCGCATGCGGTGATCTTGCGCGTAATAGAAGGCAACACTTCCACCAGCGGCGGTACTCCAGCTGTCTCGCCGGGCTCTTGTTGCGGGTTTCTCTCCGATGCATGATTCGACTGGGCGATCCTGAAAGGGCTTTGCTGCTGTTCTACATTGGGACTCAATCCGCTTGCTACCGGTTGTCCCGGGTTGGGCACTCGTGTTGGACTCCATTGTCGTTTACGTTTCGCCATGAATGTTGTGGATTATATTATTTTTGTTGCCACATTAGGGACAGAGAATGCAATGGTGTCGTAGTTTCTGAGGAGCCATCGTAACATCGGATCGGCCGCGTCGTAACCCCGCATCGTCGGTAGATCTCTAGCCGGACATGTCGGGGTATTCCCGATGGCTGGTTGCTTATTACTAAACACAGGATATAAATCACCTGGAGAACGAGGTGGCTTGGATAAAATAAACTCTATCCATTGAAGGAAGACCCACGATCGACACCATGACTTCCTCAGTTGCGGCAAAGTCCAGACCCCTACCCCCTGGAATCTTCTGTCCGGTAATATCCCTTTACAAAGCAACACCTCGACAAGAGATCGACTATGAAGCCTCATACAAATACTTCTCCTACCTGATCCGTGGAGGTGTTGACGGCCTCGTTCTGGGTGGAACAACCGCCGAGGCAGTTTTACTGTCCCCAACAGAGCGCCAAGAGCTAATCAAGATCGCTCGACGTGCCGCGCTAGACCTGGGATTTGACAACTTCCCCCTTGTAGCGGGTATTAGTGGGCAGTCGACAAATGAGTCAATACGCTTGGCAGAAGAAGCTCGACAGGCAGGCGCAGACTTCGGGCTCTTGCTGCCCCCAAGCTATTGGGCCAAAGCTGTATCGAAGGACGTTATTATCGACTTCTACAAGGACGTTGCGGACGAGAATATTCTCCCCATCGTCATCTATAGTGTAAGTTACAAACGTCTACAATATCAATTGAGCTTCAGAGAATAACTGACGACACAGTTCCCCGCTGTCTGCAATGGCGTGGACATGAACTCGGATGTCATGTCGACGCTGGCCCAGCATCCCAACATCGTCGGTGTCAAGCTGACCTGTGGGAATGCGGGGAAGGTTACCCGACTCACACAAGAGTATTCGCATGAACAATTCAGTGTTTATGCGGGTTCATCAGATTGGCTCATTCCCTGCCTCAGTGGTGGGGGATCAGGCTGCGTGACGGGAATAGGTAATGTCTTCCCCAAGTCGGTCGCCAGGTTATATGCTCTATGGAAGGATGGAAATGTACAGGAGGCCATGAAGCTGCAGGGCTTAGTTGCACAAGCTGAAAAGGCCTGTAAAGAAGGTATCGCACCAACCAAGTTCGCAGCAGCGCACTTTGCGGGGCCCTTGGCAGGCGTTACAGAAGAAAATGCATTTTGGCCCCGACGGCCATATAAGCCATCGGCAAAGGGTATGCAAGACTGGGTTGTCAGTGTAATGCAACATCTGGTCGAGATTGAGAATTCTCTACCTGATGTGTCTGGCCCCAGGAGGGCTCAATGAGAAACTATGTGTAATATATGAAGATAGGCCAAATAGAAATTGAAGTAAACCTCAGTGACACCTTTTGATCTACTAGTATATGTCCGTATTCTGAGAATAGATTGAGAAGCAGAATAATCGCTATGGTGCTTGCTATAGGAAAATAGACGGTGATATATAATATTGACAGTTATCTGTTCCTAGTTACCCTACTTTCAATGTGTTGTGTATGCCTGATCAGCTTGTAGTGAGATATTGTAAGCCATAACAAGCGTGGACAAACAAATTGCGCTCTATACGATATATTTCTGTATTTTCCATGCTTGAAAGATGTGTTATTGTAGTCTAGACCACTTCCGCAAATCCGACGCCAGTATACATTCGACAAAACCAATACTAGTCTAACTCGTGAAGAAATCATACTTAAGCTGCACGTACTTGATCCTTTGTCTCCAAAAGGTGTACGCAATGTGAATCCTGTCTCCACCAAACACCATACTCGGGTATGACAACTCACGGTTAAGCTTTTTCTCGCTGTTGTTCGTCATACAATATCCGTCGCCATCTTCCAATACGCGTCGTTCCCATGTCTTCCCTGAATCATCGCTCCAGGCCACGCATAGTGGTGCTCGTGGTGCCCCCCAGAATGACTCTCTACCGTCCTCTGTAGATCGCTGATCTTGGCGCTCGTCAGCGCCATCTCCAATGTCATCGTACAGGCCCTGTCGACGTCCTGTGGCGTCTAGCTTGGAGGAATGGTTGTACACTAGAACCACCCTCCCGGAAGGCAGCACATCGAAGCAAATGCCCGCATTGGGGTTTGGAAGAACGGTGGCCTGTGGTGAACTCCAGGAAAGGCCATCAGGCGAGGTTGCTAGATAAACATGGTCCGCCCATCGACTGCGAAACAAGCCAAGATAGGACCCATCTTTCAAGCGCTGTATTTCCATGTGAACGCAGCCTGTACTTTGTGGGATAACAGACTCTGTCCAGGTATGTCCCTCGTCCCTTGACACACGGATACAAGAGATATCGTTATTCCCTAGCCAACGCTCCCCTGGGTCTACGCGACACTTGAAAACGGGAATGACCCATGCACCATCATCTAGAACGATGAGTGGCTGGCGAATGAAGATGCCGGAGTCCGAGAACAGAACTTCCTCTTTTCCCCAGGTGATTCCGTCATCTTTGGAAATGCGATGCTTCACAATTGCCGAGTCTTGGTTTCCGGCGTGCTGCGACGTGTACAGAAGCCAGAGATCTCCAGCTGGTGTACGAAATAGAACCGGATTTTGTTCGCTGCGGGTATTATCGTGGGTCATTCGTATAGCTTCTGACCATGATTGCTCACCCGCCCTCAGACGGGATAAATAGATACTGATGTCTGGCTTGCCCTCCATACTACCACCAAACCAGGCACACAGGACATCACCATTGGGGAGTAACAGTAGGTTTGAGGCATGACTTTGCGCTGTGGCCTCGGGTAGATAGCTCTCTCGGTAAAAGTATGGCCTGTTGGTCTCGCGCACCAAGCTGTCTTGGGGAAGTGCTGGAGTCGACACCATGTTTAAACAGATAGACGAGAGCAAGTCTTCTTAGTATAACTTTAGCGTAACGAGTTAAACTGCTCTCTAATCTTAACCTGTCTCTTGCCGCATCCAACCAGAATGCCCCAGTATATAATGACAAGATTGCGTGGCCTTCTGCCGAGGGGCTGCCATGCAAAAGGCTAAAATAAATCGGGCCTCGTCCGATAGGTTATGCAAAGCTCGGGGGATAGTCCGACTGTCTTCAAAGGCTGTCTCCACCTTCCCCAGATCGTCAGCCCGCGAGAATGTGGGGTTGGTGTGTACAAGCTTAATGTCTTTATTCGTAATCGGAATGAACATGTAGCAGTGCTTGAGCCATAAAATGGCAGCATACCATCCATCATGAGACCCACTTCTCCCCCTTGCTGAGTGCTCACACAGCTTATGAGTTCCGAGATTCAATATTTATATCAGACTTCCATCAGTACCTGGCATGCTCCTCGTTTCCCTTACATTATCTACTGAGTACTCATAAGATCCACCGTATCAAGTCTTTGTCCTAAATACATCCTCCATGGCAGGGGGTACTAGCATCTGGGCGAGCAAGGAAGCCAGAACTGACCCGAAGGAGATTTTCAACCTAAGGCTTCTTTATCTCCTTGTATCGGTTGCCTGGGGTGGGTGGTTCTATGGCTTCGACACCGGCAACATTGGAGGCATTCTTACCTTGCCTTCATTTGAAAATGCTTTCGGTCTGACAAACCTACCGGATGCAGAGGTTGACAATCGAAAGGTATGACCGGTTCTGCTTTGTGATCTAACTGAAGTATATATTGATGGGATCACAGGGAACGATTGCTGCAATGCTTGCGGCTGGTGGCTCAGCAGGGGCTCTCTGCGCTGCACCAACATCAGACTTTCTTGGTCGCAAATGGTCGGTCTTTCTATGGGGATTTGTCTTCGTAGTGGGTGCTGCAATGCAGATGGTGGCTGATTATGACGTCCTCCTTGCGGGTCGCTTCATCGGTGGTATGGGGGTAGGAGCCAGTTCAATGCTCACACCACAGTTTCTGGCCGAGAACTCGCCCAAGTCTGTCCGAGGATCCATGACTGCAACATATAATCTGATGATCCTAGCCGGTATAATGCTCGCCTTTTGGATCAACTACGGAGTATCCTTGTGGTCATTTCCTGGCGTCGAGCATGATAACGCGCAATGGAGAACATCGATGGGAATTCAACTCATTCCCGGGGCTCTGATGTGTCTAATGATACCTTTTGTCCCTGAAACCCCTCGGTACCTGATTAACCATGGCCGCTCAGAGCAGGGGATCAAGAACCTATGCCGGCTGCGGAAGCTACCTATCGACCATCCCTATGTTCAAACGGAGTACCAGGAGATCGAGGCCCAGGTACGATACGAGCAGGAGTGCTATCAAGGTCACAGCTATTGGGTTGTGATTCAGGATATCTTCCTAATCAAAAGCAATTTTCGACGGTTTTTCCTCGCCGTTATGCTGTTCCTATTTCATAAGTTCACCGGGACAGATTCTTTGAATGTGAGCACGGCTCTTGAACTATTCCAGTGATCCAGACTAACAATATTTATCTTCTAGTACTACGCACCAGAGATATTCGAGCTAATTGGCGTTAAAGGTAGCTCCAACACACTTCTGACCACTGGGGTGTATGGCGTAGTCAAATTCGTCGTCACCATCTTCTATGTGACCTACCTAGTAGATCGTGTTGGTCGCCGCCTTCCTCTGCTCGTTGGTGCATGTCTGCAAGCAACCGCAATGTTATACCTCGCACTGTATCTCCGATTTGCCGGCACTAACACCGACACGGTGGGAGGCACTCCTGCGGGAGGTATAGTCGGTATTGTGTGGATCTACATATACGCCTTTGGCTGGTCATTCGGACACAGCGTGGCATGCTATGTTGTGGCTGCCGAGATATTTCCAACTCGAATCGTACGCCATTCCCACCACTTTTTTCATATCTTTCTATCTCCCATTGAGAACTAACGATATATCATTCTAGAGGTCGGTCTGCATGTCTATTTGCTTCTTCGTCAACTGGATTGTCGATTATGGCATCACGCGGGCGACACCAAATATGATTACCGAGATGGGATGGGGCGTCTTCCTGCTCTACGCGCTATTAACCTATGCCGGGGTGGTTTTTATCTTCTTCTGCCTTCCTGAACTCAAGGGACGGTCTCTTGAAAGTATAGATGACTTGTTCCAGAGACCGCTGTGGAGCATGTGGCGACATGCTTACCCCACAGAGGAAGAGAAGACACGGCAAGGCATTCCGCAATTGATGAAAGGTGGAAATGAGGATGACAGAGACGGAGACAAGGACCGTCCGGTTCATGTTGAGTCTGTTTAAGGTGTATATGAATTGCTCTTATTCAGCTTGAATTTTGATCGAAGTATGCAATATCACTCAAGGTTCGATATATAATTGTTGCGCTTGACGATCCGAGCAATCGTAGATATATTATGTCAAGGAACACAGTATATGATATTGAGTCTCTATAGACAACTATCTCCTCCCTTGACCGGCCGTTTTCCACAGCACCATCATTTTTGTTCCTTGGATAATTTGGGTATTCTAACCTATATGAATCGATCCGTCCTCCCATATATGCGTCTGAAAAAATAATTTAGCTCTCGTTGACATTTGTTCTGTGGTTGGGGTTTGTGCTAAGTACGGTAGAGGGCTGGTAGCGAACAGAAATATATCTCTGCTGTTCAATGCTAAGGTTGGTTGACACAAAAGGCCACTAGGATGTTCTCCGATGCGAATCTTAGTACTGTTAACTTCATAAACATCGGTCGATTAATGAGGTTAGTTGATCGGGTCATTGAGTCGACGTAGGGCCCTGCTAGAACATGAAGGTGAGTCGCTTTGCACCACCGGCGTTCTCTCCGACGCATCCCCGCACCACACCCTACACCCGAGGCAGGACTATGTCCGTCTAGTATGAACAAGTGTATGATAAGTGACTTATTGGTGCTACTCAAATTCTTTGTAGTGACCAGGTCGACTAATTACGCATCACACTATGGCAACTTTCACTCTGAACACAGGTGCTACGATCCCGGCCGTAGGGTTCGGGACATGGAAAGCGGCGCCCGGAGAAGCTGCAGCAGCAGTGAAGACAGCGTTTGACGTTGGATATCGGCATTTTGTAAGTCTGCTTCAGTTATTTTATCCTCTACTTTTTGTTTTATACATATCACTAATTTTAAATCGTAGGACTGTGCCCCACTATGTATGTGCCACTGTCATCAGAAACATGAACGTTTCCAACATCTAACCCTATCTCCAATGCAGACGGCAACGAGCGCGAGATCGGAGAAGTATTTCGAACCACCAAAGTACCTAGAAGTGAATACTTCGTCACGACTAAACTGTTCGTCTTCACTTACACGCATGAACAAACATGTCTACAATACCTAACCCAAGTTGACAGATGGTCCTCAGACCACCGCCGGGTGGAGTCTGCTCTCGATAAATCTCTCGACGATCTGGGCCTCGACTACGTGGATTTATATCTCATGCACTGGCCAGTAACACTGGACCCATCCCCTAACCCAGAGGAATATGGCAAAGAGAACCGCAAAGTCCACGCAACAGGCTGGGACTTTAGCAACACCTGGCGGGAGATGGAGAAGCTATTAGCAACCGGCAAAGTGCGCGCAATCGGCGTGGCGAATTTCTCGACCGTGAACTTGGAAAGATTGCTCCAGACGGCGAACGTGGTGCCGGCCGTTAACCAGACTGAAATCCAGCCGTTGCTGCCGCAGGATAAACTGCACGCGTATTGCCAGGAGAAAGGGATTCATCAAACTGCGTTTGGGCCGCTGGGTGGGTCTGGGAGTACATTGCATTCTCATCCGGCTATTGTAGATATTGCCGCGAAGAGAGGGTGTGATACCGGGAATGTGATGCTGAGTTGGGGGATTCAGAAGGGGTGGAGTGTTATTCCTAAAAGTACGAATCCGAAGCGCATTCTGGCGAATCTTGTGGGGAATGTTCAGTTGACGGTGGAGGAGATGGAGATCATGGATTCTTTGGCTGTGCCTAAGGGAAAGAGGTTTAATCGGCCGGATTGGGGGGCTGTGATCTTTCATGATGATGCAGACGTGGATCTAGAGGAGTAGGCGGGCATGGTCCGATACTCGTCGTCGGCTATGGATATGTTGTATCTCAAAAGGACACTGTGGCCTATCTTTAGCATACGTCTCGTTGACGTGTGTTGGTCGCTATCTATACTTTCGGATATGAACATAAACTATTTACTACTGATGTCACTTGTGATAATTCTGCACGATAGCTGGTTAGACACGCCTTAGACAGAAACGAAACATAGATTACAGCCAATATCATTAAGACTTCGGAAAGTGTTATAATGGTCCTGCCCTGCGAGGAAATGAAAGGAATGGCCTTCATTTCGAAACATCCACCAAAACAGCGGAGTGAGTTGTATGTTATTGATCTTGCATGTTGTCTATTTCAGTCAATAATAAAGGAATGGGGCAGGCAACATCAAATTGGTGGATCCCAACAAACCCTTCAAAATCGTGCAACATATCAGTACAATGGGCAAGTGATAGATAGGGTTAAGAATACCTGACGCAATAAGCTATAACAATATCCTGAATAAAAGACCAAACTAACTAAACAAATGAAACAAGCTAACGAGCCATGGCTTCTGTAATATGGGTGTCATTCGGGATGTGATACGCGTTCACAAATTTTGTTGAATCCGATCCAAGGCTGGAACACGGGACAACATCTGATAATCTGGAACAACAGCGCGGCTTGCGGGACCTCCTTGCGTTGGATAAGCCCGTGGTTGGTTTTCATGCAGAGCCGCGGTCTGAGGATGAGCTTCTAGTTCGTATGTCTGCCCATCGTTGTGCATGCCTGGGTTAATAAAATCGGGTGCAAGGCAGGACCGCTTGACCAGACCTGTATAATGACTATATTCATGACTCCCTGCAGTTACAGCTGCTGGGTGACTTTTAAAGATATCCCCCGGTATCTGCAGCGAAGCATGGCCCTGAGAACGAGGAGCCGGCTGCCGATAATGCTCAAGGCGCAGCGGGACCTGTCGCTTTATCAACGACCGCGGCTTCTTTCGGAGCCTCAGTTTTAAACCCTGGTCTACGAGTGATTTGGACAGAGGGGTTGACTCCGCCATTCCAGGAAAGCTCTTTGGGCGAAACACGGTGAAGCGGTCCGAGATGATGGACTGCAAATGAATGGCGGCACCCTTACCCATTTCGAAGAGTGTGAACTTTAGGCGAAAGTCTCCTTCGACTTTCACCGACAGGTCCCCAAATACGAAAAGGTCCATCTTGTTATTATCCTCGTCTTCAGCTCGTGAAGTGACGATACTAAAGTACCAGTCAAGTTCGTTGATGGCGGAAGTGTGCCATCTGAGGGATTTGCCAAGCTGCAGCACATAAAATAGTGGGGACTTTCGAGATAGTGCTGCGCGAGGTAACTTGCCTCCGCTTTTACTCGGACCTGCACTACCGGTGGGGGGTCGACTGGCCTGCGTTCTCTCTCCCTCCCACCGGCCATGCGTGCCTGGGCAGGCTGCTGTCGGATGATTAACTCAAACTCCGAACCGGGAGACGACATCGTGAGCAGGAAAGATTGAACACTGAGGGGTGCTACTAAGATGAGTATAAGTTAACGTCTATGGATTTGTAAGGGTGAGATATTGAACGAGACTAACTGAAAATAATGAGCCAAAGGATCCAAATCGGGAATATCCGTAGAGAGGGTTGCCAGGAACCATAAACAAAAGACTAAGATACTCAGGGAAGACGCAGAAAGAGGGATTCTGTGGTTTTGCAACAAAGCCAACATGAGCGGCAAAACTTTGGAGTTTGCTTCCTGATCTACGCAGTCATACTGTCAGAATGACATTGGTATGACTATCTGATCTCTGCTACGGTAAGCCAAAGCCGCTATTCTGCATTTCCTTTGATTCCTTGGGCAGGCAGCATGATCCAAATTCCTTGGTCTTCGCCAATGACTAACATCACGAAGTCGTTTGGTATCTTTCCATTTTTATAGATGGCGGTTGAATCCTGGTACAGGACGGCATAATCAGCTCGCCCAAAAAGGACGCGGGGAAAGGAAAGCTGGTGCCAGAATCAAACTGCAATAATGCTGTACGGTGATTTTGGTGCTTTAATTTCATTATATACCTCCTCTTTCTGAATCCTTTTGGTTAGAACAAGGTAGCAAGGTTAGGGTATTTTGGAGATAATGTGCAGGGTGTGGAAGATACAGGATCTCTTAGCACGAAATGGTATTACTTTTTGCGGGGCCCTAATGGGCAGAGGGAATAGTATGTTGAGTATTCAAAGCTTTGGCAGCTCTCCTTAAGGTCTTTTGTGCCAATTGATCGTACCTTGAAATGGCACTGATGAGGGCGTCAATGCGAGGCAAGACTTACGCCAATTTATCCTGGGGTGAACAAAGATCTACCACGCAGAGCTTAAGACCGCGATCCTGGATGTTAGTACCAGCTTCCTTTCGAGGAGAGCTTGTCTTGGCTAAAGTCTGTAGTGACATGAGTTATTCGGGCCATTCTGGGAGCAAATCATCACAGGGCACATATTTCTTGGCCTCAACTAAGCGATCGGGAGTAGAGCTATCCGTTTCATTAATGGCTCCTAGAAGGAGGACGCGAGGCAAACAAAACCTTTTCGCAATGAAACATAAGTATGATATGAAAAACTGAAGTGTATCGAGGATTCTGTGAATCCCTTTCTATATTCCATTCCGTAGTAGAAATTATATGTTTGTATATTGGACGGCCCTCGGCACCGCACGATAGAAATTGGGTTCCCATGGCATAGATAATCTGAAATACAAAATCAAGGCCTGTTCCCGGTGTTACAATTCAAATCTCCCTTGGATGTTGCTTCTCGAATTTCAACCACATCTCCGGCACCTCATATATCCGTACTGTTTCCGACGCTTCCGAGAACCACTCACTAAATTCTCGATACTCCCGCTTCGTCGCGCCCGATCCCGGGCCCAAATCGAAAAATCTTCCATCTATAGGCCCGAATCCAGTTGGCACCATATCTGCTGTACACTGATCATTCAGAATACAAATACCGCGACCGATCATAGCGTTCATAATCTCGACATAGCGCTTTACAAAGTCGGTAGAGGAATCGCCATCTTGTCGTGGGACATAATTTTTTACTTCGCTTTGGAGGACAACAGAATCAGGATCAGCGCCTTCGGCGATAAGACGGTCGCGCTCCTGCCGTGCCGAAGTCGCGTAGTCCTGGGGAGTCTCATAGACCATAGGCTCGTCGTCCGAGTCGTCTCTATAGCTCTGAGCTGATTCAGAGTGTATTATACCCGAGGGTTGGTGTTGTTCTTCGGACATTTTAGGTGTTGCGGCAGTGTCCTTCATCCTGAAACTGTACTAGTCTTCGTTATGGTTTTCCTATGTTGAGGGAACTAAATGATGGATAAAATGCCGGGGAAGCATAGAGAAAACCTGGTCTGGTTTGAGGGGTATAAATACGCTGTATGCTGACAAGGAGGGCTCAACTGGCATGGTTAGGCAGCACTGCTGTACGTAGTAGCCTTGCGCCACAACAGGGGGTCCATTGTGGAAGAGCTTAACCGCTCAGCTAATGCTTTATACCGGTGGTATTAAGAGAACATGGTTAAGATTCCATCAGAAGGTAACGTGACAAGGCTGAGCGGTGAGTAGTTATAATACTCAAGGAGCGAAAATACGCTCCTGTGCAGAATCCAGAGTATACTTCATATCGATGAGTTTTTTTTAGTATGAGCGCAATCTAGTACTCCAGGTTCAGTCTGGGCTATTTCCATATATATAGTACGTGGCTGTAGTTCTATGTGTCAGATCTTTCTTGCATTTCACTTGTACGTATTTGTGGGCAGTGCAATTTGGACAAATCCAGGAAGGAACAACAGCAACTTCAAATTAGATAATTAATAGAGCTAGCATCACGAGACCAAAGACACCGGAAATGAACATGGCCTGACTACCCAAATGAAATCCGCATCTGCAAAGGTGAATCGCTATCGGATGTATGATGTTTGTCAATGATCTGGCCCCAACAGACCTTCTCGAAACCATGTATCGTTTGTTCTGTCCACACCGCTTCTAGCAGCGGTATAGCTGTGCTAAACATGTGGTATCTTGTCCTATCATTCCAAGATGCACAGGTGTGCAGGATCTTCCTGCGGGACGAGTGATCTTGTAGTTCACAGCCCGCAAAGAAGAGCGGTAGTAAGGCCTGTCTGGAGACCATGCATTCATCACGACAAGCAAAGACATGATCCATGATAACCCTTGCGCGGTACAGAGTGTGCATCGGGACACTCTGCCCAGGCGCCCAACGAAACACCCTGTATAGATACAGGAGGAGTCCATTCCTCCAAGCCTCTGAGCAGTGCATGCTGTCTACATCTTGATGCATGCTCTCTTCGTCTTTAAAAGCGGTGGCCGGGGAAACATAATGCCACGACTCGAGTGATCTTTCAATTGCTGTCAAGACCGTGGCGTTCTGTGTCGGGGACGACCTTCGCTGCTCTGCAGCTAATTGGGCTACTTGCATCACCACCTTCACGAGACTGAGTGGACATCCGCATAGACCGAAAAAGTCCCACCCCTGGCCGTTGTAGTTGCACAAAAGGGCTTCGAAATATTCATACGGAAAAACACAATCTTCCCTGTTGACCAGGCTCGTGATCGCATCCCACCTGACCCGTCAGCTAAATCTTTTCGAATAAGAAGGCGAATTTCTCATACCATAACAGTATTCCTATTTGCACTTGTGTCCTAGTGGAAGTGACCCACATGTCAATTCCACCACACGCTTCAATAAGGCCATGTGCTCCGAGAAGATGGGTACGCCAGGTTCCGAGGGCAGATTGGGTTTCCTATAATAAATGGTAAATCAGGGGTATTTTTGACGTCTGCTGGGGCGCGACCAACATCTAGTGAAAATAGGATTACAATGGTGTCCAGGATAGCAGAGCTATGTCCAGGCTTTGTACATATCTCAAGACTCTCGCGGAGTAACTGAAGTGCGGTATGGCGATGGATGTTGGTGGATTCGCTCTCGACGTGATGACCAGCTAAAGCCATTACCGCATGGACCAGAAACATTGGTTTTGGGCCGGAGCTTTCTCGGTACATAAAGGGGTTCATTTGGAGATCGGATGTTAATGGGATTCGGCAAAACTCCATGTTATCTTGCAGGTCCGAATTAGCGAAGCATGCATTGGGAAAACTAGGACAGACATACATCTTTCGAGGACATTGTTGTACCGTTGACCAAGGGTGCTGTAAAGGATACCAGGTGGTATGGAGATGGGCACAAACGATTCTTCAGGCAGACCATTCAGACCGAATGTATTGACATCAGCCCTTCGAGCTTCGCGTTTGTCCGGAGAGGCAGATAAATGCGCAGGTATACGTATATCTATGCTTTCGTGTCGATACGGCCGCCGCTCGGTAGTCACATTGTAACTCGTACTTAAGTCACAGCTGCTAATCGTGGACCTAATATAAAACTCAGCTAGTAGTCGATCAAGGGAAGACGGATTTCCTTTTGCAGACCGTATAGAGGGCTGGTCCCGGACGGGATGCTCTAAGATAAATTCCAGTTGGTGCGGGTTGCATTGGGCCTGCGGGTCCTCGACCGTCTGACTGGTTTCTTGGACAGCGAAAAGCCCGGTTGCCAAGAGATTTGGAATTCCCTCATGGTAGTAGATAACAATTGTCCGGCATGGAGTGAATCTGGGTAATAGCACTTTGAGGGCTCGATATGCAACAGGTGACATTGGAGCTGGATTGACGATCAACGCCGATCCGAGATCAGCCTTACCCATTTGGGCCATTTACCTATTTGGGACGATTGCCTATTTTGGTACTCCGGAGTCCACTCGACGCTCATGGCGAGTACTAAAATCGGCCATAAGTTAGTTAAGGGAACACTTGCGAAACAGTATTTGCACCTGTGCCCTTCTATGCTCGGTTCAAAACTGCTAAAGTTTTAAAAAATTGAGGTTGGCGTCAGATCTCTGCATCACCCGTCGTTACTGAGCCCTAAAGGATACTAATTGTATGAGGGTATAATACACCAGTCTACCAAAATCACGGGAGAGAAACTCAAAGACTATTTGAGATGGATGGCATTGATTTAACGAAGCGTTCAGACTCTGCTCCAGAAGGTTCGTCACCCCCATTGACCAAAACTTTACTTCGTCACTTACCCTGCTGACGATGGAATCGTAGTGCCAATCCATATTACAGATATTACAATAGTCAGTTGGAATGGGCCAGATGATCCACAAGACCCTTTCAACTGGCCTTCGTGGAAGAAGTGGTGGGCGACCGGACTAGGCCTCCTAGCGAGTTTCATTTGCTCAATGAACGGAACGATCTTATCTGTTGCCCACGAGGATATTAGTGAAGAATTCCATATCTCGGATGCGACATTCCCACATTCCTACTGGCTGACCACTTCCTGGGGCTTAGGGGCCGCTCTGTGTCCGCTGATCCTATTTCCTATCATGGAGGACTTCGGAGTTCGACCTGTACTTCTCAGTATCTATTTTGTCTTTGCTTGTTTCCTGGTCCCAGTGGGCTTCGCCCATAACTACGTGACATTGATCATTGTCCGCTTCATCAGTGGTGGATGTGTTCCACTGATGAGCGATGCAGTTGCTAGCATAGCATCGAATGTCTTTCACGGCGATCGAGCCAGAAGCATCCCGATCAGTCTATACGTCACTATATATCTTGGGTCAACAAGCATAGGCCCAGTTGTCGGCGCAGCGATATTGAAGTTCCTCTCTTGGCGCTGGATAGGCTATATGGAAACAATCTGGACAGCGGCGGCCTTCCCACTCTTCGCGCTCGGTCTTCCGGAGACTCGAGGATCAGCCATTCTCCGAGTGAAGGCCAAATCCTTCCGTTCGGACGGCAAGAACGCGTACACAGCAGCAGAGCTCGAACTAGACCGTACGCCATCGTACCAAGTTGTCATCAAAAGTATGAAACGACCACTGTATATGCTCGTCACGGAATTGGTGGTTTTTGTCGCTGCGCTGTGGGCAGCCTTCAGCCTCGGAACAATTTATCTATTTACTCAGTCCGTCGAGCAGGTTTATGCCGAACTTTATGGCTGGGATGCTGTGAAGGCAGGCTATGTCCAAGTTGCTATTGTAATAGGCAAAATCCTCGGCTGTCTGCTTTGTATATCTACCGATCACTGGTATCATGACTCCGCATTTCGAAATATCGAGATACCAGGCGTACCTATCCCCGAAGCCAGGCTATACTCATCAATCGTCGGGGGTCTTCTTGGTGTCACTGGAGGGATGTTTGTATATGGATGGACTTCATATCCCTCCGTACATTGGAGTGCACCAACCGTCGGCCTGGCGATGGTGGGCTTCGGAACCACTGCCGTTATCATAGGTAATGCAAACTACCTCATAGACGCTTATAGTAAGTATGCGGCCAGCGCCCTTGGGGCGGTAGGCCTTGTGGAGAATATTGCCATTGCTTTTCTTCCGCTCGCCACCACAGCCATGTATACGGATCTTGGATTCCAGTGGGCTAGTTCAGCCCTTGCATTCGTGTCTCTGGCACTGGTTGCAACACCGCTTGTGATGCTCCGATGGGGGACGGTCATCAGGTCTCGAAGCCCGTTTATGAGAGAGGCTATTATTGATAAACGAAGGGGGAGCATCCTGACAACCATAGAAAATGATGCTGGTTGTGTAATTTAAAATACGTGCGCATGAATTGACGAATTATTTGGTAGTCGGCTCGCAGACTCAATAGTTCAAGATGTTATATCATTTATACTTGTTGTGATCCTATTATTTAGTTTACCATAAGCCTGCCTGCTATCCATCTCCTGACCACGGTGAATACAGAACGGCTCAGAAGTTATCATGCGAGCTGAACACCAGCAGGCAACCCAAACACCTGGTTATTGACTTCGAAGCCACAAGCAGAAATACCTTCGCTCTCCGTCAAGCAGTTGCCGGTGTCAAGGTTCTTCAGATTCCCTGTGGTTGCATAAGACCATTTCTGCGCACCATCCTCTTTGCACTCCTTTAGGGATATGGCTTTATCCTCCGCCGTCAAACATTTCGATGGATCAGACAATGTGCGAATCAACCCCGATGCGTCAACTTTCCATATCTGCGATTTGCTCCCATCGCAGGATTCAAATCCCACGGATGATGTGGTACCGGTAAGGCACTTTCCGGAGGCCGTGTTAAAGATGATGCCGGTGGGTGTAACAGCAGAACACTTTTGGTCGATATCAATTTTGTACACGGCGGTCGCGTGTGTGTTTAGCTTAATATGTATAGCATCTTTGATGTTCTGAGTCGACCCGTCCCACAGATCTTGTGATTTGTATGTACAATCAGTGGACAGGCCGAGTATATCCAGAGAGATATCTGTTTCGACTGGATCGCTACCATGGTTGAGGATGGTGGCTAATCTGGAACCGTCGGCCAGACTCCGAGTCAAGATATCGAGCGAACTATCCCGACTCGCTAGTGTTGCCTGTTGAGCTAGTGGATCCTGATCAACTTCAATTAGGGCTTGATTCGTTAGGTACTTTAAGTCTTCGGAGGATAAATCAGGGATATGGGCACTGATGAACAAGGGCGCCGAGAAGGATGCCCAAACTGCGAATTGAGATCGCTTTTCGTCGAGCGAAAGTCCTGGATGGTCAGAAATCAGGAAGTCAGGGTCATTGTAATACCCAGGACGTTGATACCGAGCCACCAGCGTGTTGAACCTATAGTTGGTCATGATGCTGTCCCAGGCACTGCCTTCTCCACCGTAGACGATAATGTCATCCGAGTGCCGGGCGAGCTCGCCGTATTCAGGAACCCAGTCCATGACCGTATGCCAATCAGTGAGATTGTCAGTCATGGAGAAGTACGCAGGCGCTGACTCGGAAAATATCAGTGGCTGCTGCATCTTGCTGAGTATATCGTGCCAATGGCCGTAGAGGTATTTGTATTCTTCCTGCAAGTTGCGACCCTCCTTCGGATAGACGTTACATCCATCCAATTTCAGATAGTCGATGCCCCATCCGCGAATGTTTCGGCGTCAATTTCCTCGTAGCCCTCGGATCCAGGATAGCCCCCACAGGTCAGGTTCCCTGAATCCTCGTAGATGCCAAAGTTGAAGCCTTTAGATTTGACGTATTGCCCGAGCCAGGGAAGACCGCGTGGGAACTTAGTGATGTTCCATTCGAGTGACCCATTGTCCGCGCGATCATAGTTCATCCAGCAGTCGTCCAGATTGATACGGTTATAGCCTGCTTCTAATAGACCGGTGGAAGCCATTGCATCTGCAGTGTCAACGAACAGTGTCTCATTGAGGTCGCACATGAATCGGGCCCAGTTATTAAATCCCATAGGCGGGGTCGGCAGTAGGCTTGGATTTTCAATGGACGCGACCACTTGGGCTGGAATAGTGCTAGCCCATGCAGTCGCTACGGGTACCCATTTCGCGGTGAATCGCATATTTTCGTTTGCCTTCAGCTATATATACAACTGGCTCGGCAAGAAGACAATTCGGCTATGAACATCTATGTGACACTTCTATTTACCATGGGCGGCACCCTGGGACTTTCAGAGTTATAAATCATGCCATTGTCAACTCGCCCGATAAGTAGCGGGGTAATCAAACACCGATTGATCCGATAGCTACTACATCTAGCCAGGGGTGAGGATATTAATTGGCCGAATCCGCCGATCCCCGCGCGATATCGACGATCTACATTCCTCCGATGGCACCTTCAGTGACCTTTGCCGTCGGGTATATGCATTGATACGTGTACACACTACTACGGTAGTATTAATATGTAAGGAGAGGTCGCATCTGAGGTTATGCTACCTCAACCGGTATCCTGAGGCATGTACCTTACCTACTACAGCTCACAGCACCCCGGTCGGTTAGCTTTGCTAAACAGTAGATGCCGTACTATCACTTATTTTACTCGCGAAGAAAAATATCTATGCATATAGTGAAGTCTAGAACTGCACATATTGCTTTTTCTTTTTTTTAGTGTCTAGTACGCTCGTCTGTCATCCCCAAATCGCTTATGCCACTCTGACTAGTGTTCTCCGCGACCATCCCCCGTGATTGATGAGTATCTGTCGCTTTGGGTATATTATTCCCTCATAAATCTAGAGCTGGCTTGCATAATAAAACAGCACAGTCTACCCTCATTTGTGATAATAATGTATCCACGGATAGTAGATCGGGCGTCACTAAATATTTGAAGGTACGAATTAGAGGTCGTGCAAGTCCCCATTCAAATGAGATAACTTTCACTTCGAATCCAAAATACCGAACAACGACCAATTGTATGCATCAGCGTAGCAGAAAATGCACCAGAATCCCAGCATAATAATCCGCATCATCTATCTGATCAGCAGCCTCTCGATCCTCGTTTGACCACGCAGGATTATTGACCTTTTCAAGAACTGCCTTCGTCGTGGCTCTATCAAACTCAGCATGTCCTTGATATGTGAGCACTCTATTTGGCTGAAAGAGACCCTGAACATTGCAGATATCGCTCTTTCCCAGTATTATCCAACCTTGGGGAAGAGACCCATCCGAAACAGCCACTTGATCCTGGTGTATGAATTGAATCTTCCGTTGGGCAGCAATGTCCCCATTTGTAAATTGCGGAAAGTAGCTTAGAAACTCGGGGTCAAAGTCAACACTGTGCACGCCTATTTCCCACCCCTTTGAATTCTTCTCGATCCGTACGCCACGATCTTCCAACAGTGCTGATGCAATCATCTGGTGCCCGAAGCAGGACCCGAACAGTTTAATATACGGGTGGTTGTTATACACATCTGGGGTGGTGTTAGTCTCGTGGAGAATACATCTTCTGCAAAGGGCAAACCATACCCCGCAGAACATCCTGCATCTGTTTTATCCAGGGATGAGGATCGTATGTTGACTTTGATGATCCCGTGATAATTATTGCGTCTATGTCGGCGAAAGATGTCGGAAACTCATTGGTAGTACAGTTATAAATTGCATACGATATGGCGATGTTCGAGGTATCAAGGCGCTCTTTATTATAGTCTAGTCCACGTTCGATGAGGTTTTTAAACATGTCAGGACAGGTGCGGCCCTGGATGGGCTTTAGACAGTTGAAGATGGCAATGTGCATTCTGAATTGCTGTGTGGGTCAAGCGGTACTGTGTGACAATCAGGTGGGTATTCTGTTGTGTATTTTGCTTGTCAACAGGTGACAGATGTGATCTAACCGGGAAAAAAAAAAGATCTGGGGTCAACGATATTTGGATAGGGAATGGCTCCATTTTATAGTGATGTGGGGAATAAACTAATTTAGTGATGGCCAGTGAAAGCCCTTCCCGTGCATAACAGGTTCATGTATACCTTTCAAGGACTCTGGGCCACTAGCTTGGCCTTCTTGGCTAGATCATATCTCTGACCCTGATCTATTTCGAAAGCATAAGTAATGGTGATATATAGTGTCCTACTTCACTTGTTTATAATTCAGGAAGGCATCGTAGAGACGATGTCATGACGTCTTGTCTGCGCCCCTTATGAGTAGCGAGGAGCTGAGCTACGTGATAAACGATGAATTTAGCAAGGAGAGCAAAGAAAACCGCCAAGGCCAAAGATTCTTGGCATAGGATTGTCAAGTAACAATTCATTTCTACACCACCATCCCAACCTGAAAGAGAAGTCCCCCTCATCTATTGTTACTCGATATCCATGAAGAATCTGTAGTGAAGACAACCTTCTGACTCCCAATAGCAATGATACTCTCCATGGCTCTGTACTCTTCCCAAGGACAGATTCCGAGGCTCGCTTACTTACTGGCTGTGAACATATGTATCCGAGAGCATTCATACTTTATGCTAGACCTCAACAATGATGCCCATTCCTATAAGAGGACTCATACTGATATGATACCTGTTCCTGTCTATATCCTTCCCTTCTAGAAGAGAAGGATTAGTATCTCCAGACCGGAAAGGCTGGGTGTGAGACTTGCCGAGACTCTTGGAACCATGTACAACGGACATAGGTATGATCCTTTACCTTTGGTTGACAGTTATAACCAGATTGTTGTCTACAGAACCTGTGCCTCCGATGTTGATGTCTTTCGCATGGGGCTTCCATATGTTCCCGGAGTTCTCCTGTTTCACAACTATTTTGCTCTTGTTGTTGCTCAACTCCTACGGTTGGGGAACCTGTTGATGTATGGCCCTATGCAGGTCATCACACTCATTGCAATAGCTGTAGTAAGGCATCGCTTCTACCTGTACGTGGAGTAGACTACTTGAGATGAAAACGTTGAATGTCATATTCAGATATATATCTAATCATCGGCTTGGACGTCGACATCAACTCCCTCAAATCCTCTAAGTTCGCCGATAGCACCATCGCTCAATCTAATCGGCTGGTCAGTTCACAATACCTTACCAAGCAGAATATTTCCATTTGGTGAGTTTTCCATTTTCTTCCCTCCTCTATAAAGGTCAACACTTACTGTGGAAGCACTATCATTGGAGGCATGCGACGAATTATCGGGTACGACCCGGGCGGAAAGCCATTGCTCTCAAGGACCCTAACTCATAATATTAATAAAGAAGCGCTTATTGAAGTTGTATTTAACATAGATACACTTACGCGTGGACCGGGGAGCCATCATCATAAAAGATTTCAGGATTCTCAAATGCAACGACTACCTGGTTAAGACATCAGCACGGAACTGCGAACAGGTCAACTATTATAGTATTGCTCCATAGCATACCGGCATTTTGGAGGAGTGTTTCAATGTCTGTGAGGGATGGTTGATGAAGATTTGGAGAGAGGATGGGAGGAACAAGTCGGAACGAGATACTTATACCGATCTTGGAAACTAAAATCGGTTGTTGATGGCGTCATGTTTTCACCCTCCTATATGCATGCCCCTCATTTTAGCCCACCTGAGATCACTGCTGGTTCCAATCAAACCTTCTTCCAGTTGACTTTGTATCTCGGTAGAAGATGTGTCAGTGCGTTAGGTGGGGGAACTTCAGCTCTTGGCAGATCTGTGTCCTCGGACGGGAAGGATCAACATCTGTTGTTGAACCCTTGGTGATTTGACCTACTCAAGGGACCGAGAGAAGCCAGGGAGTATGGCTTGTCCTAGTACTAACTGTATCCTCACTTAGTTTCCTACCACAGCATACCTGCTCCTTTCATATAACCACGATATACGATATCCTTCGACATATTCCCATGTGGCCATCATGTAGTTGACAATTGGACATGTTCCCTGCACAGCAAGCTTTTCGTCACCTATATAATCACTAACATAGCGTACACGTGTCACTGCACGGCCCTCAGCTTTGCGTGAACACGGGGGTTTGTTCATTCGGACTCTCAAACACGTTACGCCAGTATTCCGATACGCGATCACAGATCCCCGACTTGCCCGTCCAGGACTCGAATACATGCTCCAAGTTACAGCTAACCCATTTGATCTCCTCCCAGTAGCTCTTCTCCGCGTCGAAGCCAAACCGTTCCAATGTTTTCTCGGCGACAAGCCATGCCCTCCCATCGCTACCATCCGGCTTCAACGTTGGTGCGGTCTCCCACTTATTGCCAAACAGGTGCTCTGCGGGGTTAAACTTGGGATAATGCGCATGGATAAAGAACACCTGAGGGGCTTTCGCGACAGATGGGTCTTTAATCCGCCATTTCCCTTCACGGGTCAATCGATAATCTTCGATCGGGTCCGCTTGAACCATGGCAGACCCTGAAATACCCCCGTCTGGCTTCGCATGGCCGACAGCGGATACCTTCTCGCTGACCGTGTAGAAGGGCTCGCCCATGGCAGCTGCGGCTTGGATGAAGGTTTCTTTGTCTCCTTCTCCCGGGGCGCCTTGCGAAAGCAACATGAAATAGTGCGACGGCCCATAATAGTTATAATAGGCAGCTAGCAGCAACGTCAGGAAGTGATTTTTCTTCGAGATCAAGAACACGCCGGTCTCCGAGGAAGCACGCTCCGTCATCGATGGAATGGACTGTCGAGATATATTGTAGTACAGAGGCGAGGCCGTCGAAGCCCAGAAGTCCGGCCAGGTGACGAGACCGGTTGATGTAAACGGCTCGGTCTGCAATAACGACTCGGGCTTATGAAGCGGGAAGCCATCGGAGTCCATCCAGATGACATTCTCGAAGGAAGAAAACAACACCGCAAAAATCTTCAATTGGTAGTGGGCGATCTGCTCTGTGGAGTAGCCTTGGCTGGCCTCAATATCCGAAAGAATGACGCATCTCGCGTTATACTGAGGAAGGATTTCTGCACAGATCTTGGCCTCATATTCCGTTTCGTCCTTCACGAAGAGCTCCACGGGCAGAGTTGAACCGGTCCGTCGAAGCATGCGCAATGAAGTGACAAACAGCGGAAGGTAGGACTTCCCGGCGCTGGACACGATGCCGCTGGTTCCGGGGTTATAGGCCCTATCTATATTCGAGTTTCTTATTGCATCTACGAACTTATCATGCGCGCTCTGTAGCGGCCCTTGGATGCGCTCGGAATTGGTAATAAGGTCCGGCCGAGACACGTCTTTCACGGCATTAAACGGAATTGCTCCGGAGCTGTCATCCCTCTCGGGGGAAGGACATTCCGGGGCATGGTCCTCTAACAAGGAGCTGAGTTGTTGCCACAGGAGTGTTTGTCGCGCTTGGAGTGACGAAGGTTCAATAGCTTCAGCGAATTCCACGTCTGCTTTCCAGTACAAGTGTAAGGAGTAAACGATCAATAGCGCACTGAGTGCCAAAATTCCGATCTTGTATCGAACACTCGGGTGCATGATGCCGAATAGTGAAGATTGTCGCTGGAAAGAAGCGCTCACGTAGAGGTGGGACCGGACTCACCGGCAGGATAGCAAATTGGCCAGAACAAGAGACAGGGTTGACTACCAAAAGCACCTGGGCGTGTTTGTCCTACAGATCCGGTCGAGTGAAAAAAGAACCCAATCATTGCCTACTTGGTAACGGCTGGTTAGCCGCGGACGATCGGTCATTCAGGTGCCACAGGGTTAGCTACGGAGTGTAGCCGCGTCAGCGCCGGTTCTTGACGTGGATATGACACTAGTCCGTGCCAAGGTCGATGGAGAGCTGTTTCAGCCATGGGTCCCTTCCGCTTAGTGTCTTTAGGTGGGGAATTAATCCAATACCCTAAGTTAAAATATCCATCACTACCACAGCCAGTAACAAGTAGCGACGTACAGAGTAGCTTTTTGCTACTACTGTGCCGAGTAAGCCAACCGTCTGGGAGTTATATATAAACTACGAGTACATCTTTGTAGGTAGACAGAAAAGCGGACAGGGCAACGCTCCTCGTGGTGTAATTCATTCTAATCAATAGCATGTCTAGTCGCAAAGCTTACACGCGGCTGGGCTCAAGTGGTCAGAACGTGGTTAGATAGTTTCTTATCAGATAGAAACAGTCTAGCAAGCCATCCACAATTCAGAAAGCAAAATATCTTCGACTGATCGACGGTAGTCAGGGCTCGGCAGCTGGCTCGGCAACTCCAAAGCTGATCTCGGACACGATTATCTAATGCCGTCCGATTGGTTGGCGCCTTCGAACGATCATCCTTGATTGTTTTTCGAACGCTGTCATGACATCGTCGGGTGTTTAGTTGATCTATCATATTAGTAGCCTATGACCATTCAGGATTGCCGGGGCGAATCCATATTCATCTCTGTTCCGCTCTGTTGGCTCCAGCCTCACCGGGATATCTTCGCACACTCAAGACAGTTCGGACTTGGACTCGGCTGTTGTCCGTTGGGGTCTGTGATGACTGCCAGGGAGGACAATAATATTAATTAGCAGACACGGTGATCTACTTCAGGAGTGCCACGGATTCTTTTGTTTTCTTTTTGGAGAGCACTGCCTCCTCTACATAGAGCTATTCACGGAAATCATGTGATACATAGTCTGAGCTTTTTGCTAGGAAAAAATAAATCTCCCCACATCAGAAGCTGTTTTTGTATAGGGTCACAGTCAACACTAGTACTTTCAAGAGTTTTGTTAGATGATAGTTCAACTTGTGCACGTTCGTTCACAGATGCCCTGACTGTAGTATCATGCGATCTCTCCCGTTGGTTACAGCAGATTTTTCGATAAGTATCATTTTCAGCATTTTGCTTTATGTTCTCCCACTGTAAATGGGGTCCTTTAACCAGATCATGCTCGGTGTCTATTGACACAGTTCGATTGTTTAGAATTACCCTCCACTGAGTTATATAATAAATACCGAATGTTTCTTAATATTATATTGTACTTCTTTGTTCGTCTCGGAAAAGTCCTCGTTGACTAGTCTGGGATTAATACAAGGGGATGTAAAACTCATCAAGGATATACTCGAGAGATACACAATAGGGTTTATATCCAAGGATCAGGGGGTCTAACAAGACCTGAGTCTATATATTATTCTCTCATAGCACTACACACCACTAAGAGGCCATATATTAACCTACACCACATAGGCGTCCCACTAGAAGCATCCGGCAGAGGTATAGCTAACGAAACCATTGAAATAATCAGATTCACAGACAATAAACTCGGACATATACTGTAGTATAGACTTATCTTAATTAATCTGATAAGATCCAAAAAGATCAACTGTAGCTCAGTACAGACAACAGAGAATATGAGCAGTTTACTACTGATACACACACAATACATCATTTCTATCATTTTACAGTTCAATACAATACAATCATCATCCGTTGGTACAGTTATCGTCCTTGTGTATGTACACTAGTGCCTCTTGGCATTAGGGCTCGAAAAACAACGAAATGGTATAGAGGGATGAGCAACTGTAGTATGAGACTTCATGACTTGTCTGAGCCAGGTGTCATTTTTGCATGCTGAAGGCGTTTCACGAAGTCCGTCCCATAGTCTCTCATTTCATGTTCAAGTAACAGGTGTCCATGCTGACTTCTGTATTTCCGAGAGGTGCTACGTGCATGTGAAACATATATATATCTTGGTAGGCTGGCAACTTTGTGCTCGACAGAGCGCATCAAGTATCAGCAATATCCAATGTTGGTAATTACAAGAGAGACACAACGTACGATAATCAACAAAGCCTACGTATGGGGTCCGACAATAGGCTGATTTGGGTTTTCTAATTTCGGTTAACCAACCGCAGTTACAACGTCTAGATATGAGCCCAATTTATGAAGGAAGCCGGCCAGCTAAATATATAACCCGGTAGACTGGGCAAAGACAGATGCACCAGGTTTGAACTACACTTTCTTCGTAGCTCTGGTCAATGCTTGAGATCAGCTTGATACTCGCCACAATGCGTTTAGGAAATTTAATGTCCGTTGATAGTGTTCTTGCTACTCGGAAAAGAATGTGGGTATGGTACATTCCAATGCTAAATAACTCCCGTATAACCGTATTCCACCAAGTCCAATCAGGCCATGTAGATAACCCATCGTAATGAACCAGCAACACTGAAGAATAAGATCTGAAACTGCATGGAGCCAAGAAGGATCGACATCGGAACCAAGCCAGCGACCTTCCGCTTAGTAACGACAACTCGCCTTCCTAGTGCGGGCCGTAGTAGGGTGCCATAATCCTTACCCTTCTCGATGCCAGTTGAGGTAGCTCCACTTCCCCACACCAGGCTTGTACTGTGGGGGAAGACTTGTGTGTATACGTACAGACGAGGAGAGAAATTATTGCGGGCAGGATGGTTGTAGGACCCGAATTGATGACATTGCAGGATATTCAACGCTTGGAAACGACATAGATACGTAAAGAATGTACGGAAGAAGAGATGATGTTTATATACCATATGTCTTTTTGTAGAAATGGTCCTGAGACGTTGGAGCACTAGATCATGCAAGCCGCTGCACGGTCACCGTTTCTGCATTTGCGATACCTGCGTTCTCCACATCATCGGAAGGTCTCTTGTCTCTCTGGGAATTGCTGAGCCTGGACGTGCATTTTTCCCACCTATAAAATCCCCCGTTGCGCCCCTGGGACACGGATATTGTTCAGGATCAAACCAGTTATCATCTCCTAACGGGCATTGATATCTCTTTTGGTAACCTATTTGACATATAGCCTACTTCATCACTCTCACTGAACATACAGACAAATACTCAACATGCTAGGTACGGTCTTGGACATAGTCCAAGGGAATCCTGTGCGGGCTGTTAGTGGTCTGCTGGTCGGATCTCTGCTCATATTCTGGGTTGTACCCTTTCTATACAACTTTTTCTTATCCCCATTAAAGAATGCGCCTGGACCTTTCTGGGCCCGCTTCACCATCCTCTGGGAATTTTGTCAGTTGATGAAAGGCCGCTCGCATGAGGAATATATCAGACTTCATAGGAAATACGGTCAGTACTGGCGAAATATCTACAAAGGAATACCTGAATGGTGATATTAAGAATAAGCAATAGGCCCGGTGGTCCGTGTCAGCCCCAACAGGTACAGTGTCATCGACCCACAGGATGTGAAGAAGATATACGGCTTCGGTGCCGACTTCCCGAAGTCCGAGTTCTATGACTCCTTAGGCGACCCAAAGAACATTTTCACCGTGCGGGACAACGAGGACCACAAAGACCGACGAAGGAAAGTTGCGTCCCTGTACACGATGTCGGCGATGGTAGCCTACGAAGACGCAGTAGATCGGATGACAACTCTGTGTATTAAAAAGATGAATGAGCTTGCAGTGAAACGAAAGCTGGTCTCCATACCCAAGTTCATGCAGTTCTATGCGTTTGATGTGATTGGAGAGATTACAGTAAGTCGGATATAATTCATTGCACCGTGCTTCTGTTTCCTCGTGGGCAGCTTCCAAGGCTAATGGATTGAATTTAGTTTGACCAAAACTTCGGAATGATGGAGAACATGGGCGACACTCAAGGCATTATCAAAGAGCTGCATACAATGAACAACACGATTGGTATCATGGGTTTATTACCGGAGTTGCAGAGTACATTCCGAGCAGCACAAAGAGTCTTCTTGCGTGGTACATCCACAGGGAAACTGACTGAATACATCTGGAGTCAGTATTGGAAGCACCGCAACACCAACAGCGGCGCCAAGCAAAAGTCCCAATACGACACCTTCCTGCGAAAGGTACTTGAATTGGAGGCTGCTCACAAAGTTGGAGTCGATAATGTCTTGGACTCGTGCGGGTCGAATATAGGTGCGGGTTCTGACACGACTGGTCTCACTCTCGGCGCCGCTTTGTGGTACATCTATCGTAATCCCGACAAGTTGGCTAAACTGCGTCACGAGATTGACACCATGACTGCAGAAGGCCGCATTTCAGATCCAGTGACATACAAGCAAGCCCAGGAGATGCCGTACCTCAACGCTGTCATCAAGGAAACCCTACGAGTGCATCCTGGTGTCGGCACGATATTGGCAAGAGTTGTACCGAAAGGAGGCATGACTCTTACTGGAGGGTACTATGTACCCGAAGGAGTAAGGATTCCTATACTCCCATTAGAAATCCTGCTTCCAGCTACGCTAACTCTGATCACAATATTAGACACACATCGGCACGAATGCATGGCCCTTACACTACAGCGACAAGGTCTATGGTCCTGATGCCGATCAATACCGACCCGAACGCTGGTTGGAGGACAAGCCGCAGCCTGATTACCGAGATTCGATGATGTTTGCGGTAAGTCAAATGCCAAGTATTATTACTGTTTAGGCGTCGTTTGGCAAGGATTGTTGAAACTAACATCAACGTTTCGCTTTCGTAGTTCGGCAGCGGGTCTCGAACCTGTATTGGCCGCAATATCAGCCTCTTGGAGATTACCAAGGTCTTGCCCCAGATTGTTCGCAAATTTGATTTGAAGTTCGAAGAGAAGAAGGATCCATGGGATGCGTGGTGTGCATGGTTCGTGTACCCGAAGTACAAGTGTTGGATTGAACCACGGAAGCCTGTTGGAAGTGAGGCTTAGGTCTTGGTCGTACCGGTTGGGGCACAAAAACGTAGGGTTGTGGGTGCTTTTTATATAGCGATTGATCTACCCTCTTACCTGTTTATCAGTATCTTTTGTCTGATGCTTCTGTTTGTTTCCCATCATGGAATCCCTCCACGCTCATCTTACATGCTTCTTGAAACATAAGAGCTGTCCTTCTTTCTCCTCAGTTATCCTCATAACAACCTCATCTTCAGGGTCACAGTGATGACTACATGTCTACAGAGGCGAGACGAACAGTTCTCTGATATCGCTGAAATATGTGTAAATTTAAAAACCAAATCCGAGCAGCGCTGGGTTAACGTTTGATGGGAAAATATATCTAGGAACTAGTACAAGGGAGTATTATTCACGTCAGTGGTTGCATAAAATGGCGTATCATGAAGAGGGTAAGCAACCATTAAAAAATAATAAAAATAAAATAATGAAAGCAATTATAAAAGGGCCAACTGCTGACTATCACCATTAAGTGATGTGGACATCTAACAACCGCCATTAAAACTTCGTGACTCCATGTGACCCATACCACCCGTGATTCATTTGGGTGATTATCCTCTACCAAGTTAGCACGCTATTCAAGTGTCATCCTGATTTCCCTATTGCCGTACCACCAAGATTCAAGCAAGAAGTTATAGCTCGGCCTGGTGCATCCTAACAGTAACCCGATCAGCCGGACAGCTGGTGAGAGTGACACCATAGCGGATCTGCCGATTAGGGTAGACATCTTCAATGGAATCAAACCGCTGCAGTAACCGCACCAACACATAGCTGGTATTAATAAGGGCAAACTGCTGCCCGATGCAGGTTCTCGGTCCGCCGCTGAACGGGATGTGCTCCCAGATGACCTTACGACCGAACCACCGGTCGGGATTGAACTCCTCGGCATCTTCACCCCAGATATCCTTCCGGCGTTGTAGGACATAACTGCTATAAAGGACGGGTTGACCCTTTTGGAGGTACACTGGCGACTTGCCATCCTTGCCGCCCCCCGTAGGTAATGTGGTGTCTTTGTTGGCACACCGGCGGTTGAAGGGTACGACTGGATGGAGACGCAAGGTCTCGTTTATGAAGTGTTGCAGATACTGACAGGACTTTAGCGAGGAAAAGTTGATATCGCGCGGCTCGCTGTAGGTGCCGAAGTGTTCGATGATTTCTTTACGGAGTCTCTGGAAAATGTGTGGGTGACGGGCGAGAAGAAGGATAGTCCAGCTCAGCAGTGAGGCAGTGGTATCACGACCGGCTAACAGGACATTGATACACTCGTCTCGTAGCTCGATGGGGTCCGTCGTTGTTGCGGTGAGCGCATCCAGAAAGACATAATGTGATCGGCCTTCTAGGTCTACGGGCTTCTCCGTTTGCTGGGCCCTCTGCAAGGCTGAATGAACATATCCGTCGACGAGATCATGCACCACGCGGATGCATTTCCGAAACTCCTTGTTGTTAACGACCCAATAGAGGCGCTCGAAGCGGAGTCTAGCAGCTAGGTACCATGCGCAACGGTCAAAGCTGTTGAGAAAGCTATCTGACATCTCTCCGACATCTTCTCCCAGGGCAGCTACCTGGGTGTCGCAGCTTTTGCCGAAAAGGAATTCCGTGGCCGAGTCGAGAGTCAGACGGAAGAAAATGGTCTGGATGTCAACGTCAGATGTCCACCCATTTGACTGTGTCGGTATCGCTCTCAGCGCATTCTGAACATGGCGCTCTTCCATCTCGAGATTATTGATTTGCGTGCGCGTAAACTGGGGCCGTAGTAGTGATCTTGAATGGTACCAATCCGCACCGTCCGAGATAAACTAGATCCAGACGAAGTTCGGATCAGTAACCTGGAGAGAAAGGAGAAGAGTAGCCAGGAACACTTACTATTCCGCGACCCATCACAGGCGCTCCTGCGTTGCGGCGCATATCGCCCAGGCCAAAGTCATTGAATTGAGTCGCCAACATGGCTTGGATGTTCTTGGGATCGACGGTGAAGAAGTTTTCTCGACCCGCCTGACGCACACGAAAGGTGGAAACATATCTATGGTGCAGACTGGAAAGTAGATCAACCCGTTTCTGTGATAGCTCGGGGAGAAGCTTGTCTCGATCCGCTTGTAATGCTTCGAGGAGGGTGGAGATGCCGAAGGGATCCCGAGTCGGATACAATGGGGCCTGTTGGCAGTTTAAGGTGCGAGCCTGTGTGCATGTCGCCACGACGAGTAGAAGGAGAATAACAGGCGGGCCGCAATTATGGCGGCCACGAGAGCGGGAATGAACCACGTTTCCATTAGGGTTGTACGACCTTCGGCCATGGTTCCGACCCGACACATATAGGGTTTGATTCCAGAGAATGATCTGCAAGACTTGAATCAATAGCCTGATCGCCTACCCGAGATAAACTTATATATTATATACACACTTGCACACCAGGCTATAATTAGAAGTCCCTCGTGAGTCTTCTGTTATGTCAAAGAACATCCGATGATACCCAGTGGCTCATGGAGCGCCTGAAAACTTTACCTCAGCCATTCATGGAAAACTGAGACAGGACCAGGTTTACACAAATAGCCAGTTGTGGCATTAAATCACGGGCGGCAGTAGCAGTAGGAGAGTGAGGTACAGTTGTTTAGGTTGATTCCACTACGACCATTTAACAACTAAGCCTGCGAGGTACTTTGCCCACGGCCGCATGCGGACCGGAGAATTATGATCATACCCTTATAACAATAGCATTGCGTAGCAGGGTACTCTGATTGGCCTTAATTGATAGGGATCTACATAAGCGCTATATTATACGTACTCTGGCGGTGTATAGCCGTTGCTAGATCCTGCTTGGCATCTCTGGGAGTCATCTCGGCATTTTGGCAGTGCATCTTCAAGGAGAGGGTTCCTAAGGCGCCAAGTTTCACCTAGCCTGTCGCGTGGGTTTATGAAAGGACACAGATGCTAACATATGTTGACTCTGGTCTGCCCTGATTTCTGATTCGTGGGGTCAAAACCTGCGAAGTGCGGTCAGATACTGATGTCACATTGTTTGCCCAAGGATGGCAGCCAATGAGATGAACCGTGAGAGCCGGTGTGTGTTTATAAATGATAAATGATAAATGAACTGTATAGTTACGTGATCATGTTTTACCACCGCCTATTGAGCATGGCCTGAGCACAAGTGTCAACTCGTGGAATCAGTTATCTCCATGATAAAATCATGTGGGACTAGGGATAGGGCTTAGACCGATAAACTTCCCCACTATCCGTGTTGAAGGCTAACGATAGGCTCGCAATAAGATGGCCAACATAACTGACTACCTTATATGTGGTTGGATAGCATGTAGCTGACTCATGTGTACATGACTATTTTTAACGCAGCACACTGCATGCTGCATGCCAACAGCTGGCCAGTGTATACGGAGTACGGTAAATGGACAAGGCAGACCAATCTGATTAATAACCAGGGCGGAGCCACCTTATGTCCGGCCTGATCGACAGGTGGAGCTGGCACGCGGGGTCAAATCTCGGTGGAATGTGCGATAGAAAATAGTTTATGTCTCATGAATGCCAACTGTTGACAGTGAGATTTGCTGATCCGCCCCCAAAGTAGGACATGAAGTCTTTTAGGTGTGTTCAGGTCAACGAACTCACCTGTAGTGGGGTCAGCCTAATAAGATAAAGTGTGGCATCACGGCGATTGCTATTGGCAGGTGTGTAAGAATGTTTGCAGATGCTGTCAGCGACCGATTATCTCCGCGTGGATCCTTCCAATTGCTGCTGTGGAAGTATCCGAGTGAGGTGGAGCTGCAAGTCCTGCAGGGGGCCTAACAATATCCATCCCTTACCGCATCGATTCACAATTTCCTCGCAAACATGTATATCTCTATTGAAATATGCTCGCTTGCCATGCGCAACACGGTGCTTTACCGTCCCTGTTCCTGTTTCTCATGCTGATGTTAACCATTCGAAAGTCATCATGACGGATAAATCTTCCAGCACCCTCTCTCCGCAGTCATCCAGAAAGGAGGCAGCCCTCCAGAAGACAGCTCCAGACACTCCCCGGCCTCGGGATCAGATCCCTGATTGGAAATGGAAAGGGAGTCTCGGCGTTGTCATGCTAACAACGGTAATCAATGGTTAGTTGAGCATGCTCTCGAATCAACTCCCAGTTGCTGAGTACGGTATTCTAGGATACGATGTGAGTAACGTGGCCAACATCCAGCCGCGACTGTACGAGGCATTCGGTAACATTGAGCTTCTCCCGTGGATCGGCCTTTCTTTCAGCTTAGCCGTCTTTGCCTTATTATCCTTTTCTCGGAAGATCCTGTACTGTTTCGACATGCAATGGATCTATATTGTTAGTATTGTTGTCTTCATGGCCGGGGCTGCGGTGGCGGGAGCGGCCCATAATCTATCCTCTGTTATTGTGGGTCGGACAATCATGGGGGTGGGTGGTTCTGTGATCTATCAATCGTGAGCTATCCTTGATCTCCGCTGCAGAGTCATATGCCCTGACCAGATTAGCAATCTGACCTTCGTCGCTGTGTTCGCCACTCCAGCCGAGACACCCCGTCTCTTCGGACTCCTGGGTGCATTATGGGCTGTAGGCCTCGTCATCGGCGGGCCGATCGGGTCAGCTCTGGCCACCAACAGCAGCACAACCTGGCGATGGGCTTTTTACATGAATCTGCCATGGGCTGGTCTTGGCCTCATTATAACCTTTATCTGTATGCCTAGCAAATACCTCGGACCTGACATTCCCGTATGGTCTCGCCTTGCGCGAATCGACCCTATTGGCATTAGCATGAACATGGCCGCGCCCGTTCTGTTTGCCCTGGCCTTGGAGTTCTCCGGTCCCGTCTGGGCCTGGGGCTCTGCTGCATCTATCGCCGTATGGGTAGTCTTCGGCGTGGTGATGATCGGGTGGATTGTCCAACAGTATTGGTGCATCGGCACAACTCCCGACCAACGTGCCATTCCAGTGCACCTGCTCAGTCGCCTTGATTTACTTCCCCTGTGGATCGCGTCCGGATGCGCAGGGGCATCGTACGCCGTGACACTGTACTACACTCCGCTCTTCTTCGCCTTCGCCCGCGGCCACAGTGCTTTACAACAAACCGTCCGTCTTCTCCCATTCGTCCTAGTCTTCATTGCAGTAGTTATGCTCGTTGGCGCGCTCCTGCCGGTCTTCGGCCGCTACAACATCATCTACATCATCGCAGGGACAGTGACCATTGCCGGAGGCGCAGCGATGGCCGCAACACTCAGCCCCAATGTTCCAGAATCACAGGTGCTAGGTCTAGAAGCTCTCATTGGAGTTGGACTGGGATGTTCATACCAGCACGGCGTCGGCGTCTCCAACGTCATCAACAAAGACCTGCGCAATAAGGTGGACAGTGTGGTCTTGTTCAACCTGTCGCAGATGGGCGGCATTACTATCATTCTTTCCGTAGCCGGCTCGATCTTCCAGAATGTGGGATTCAATCTTTTGACAGATGCCGTTGGGGGTAATGGGTATTCCGAAGAGGATCTGCGAGAGGCCTTGGCTGGTGTGTCGTCTGCGGTGTGGGAATCTGAAGATCCGGCGGTGCTTGCGCGTGGGGTTGAGGCTGTTGCGGATGTGCTTGCTAGGGAGTTCTATTTGGTTGTTGCTGGTGGGGCACTTTGTTTGGCATGCGGGTTGGCGATGAGGTGGGAGAAGTTGGATTATGGGAAGGGGAAGGGGAAGGGAACGGGATCTGATGCTTGATATTAGGGCTGGTACCGGATGTACTCTGTGGGGGAAATTTGGGTTCGGTCTACATATATGTTAATGATTAATAAGTGTCTACTAACTCGGTTGCCAGGTTATATATAGTCTTTGTCAGATATAATGTCATAATCCTGATTGCGAAACCAGTTTGATTCCGGCTTGTGGGGACAATATCGCAGAAATCGAACTTATGCAGTGGGATCTCCATGCGTTGTGTTAAAGGCCTTTGAAAGGACATAGTTAACGTCACGCCACGAGAGGTACCTCTACGGCAGTGTTGAAGGCGTATTATGACATCTGTGCCTCTGGAGTGGACACTCAAATAAACTTAGGGGGTGGCGCTCGGAAAGGATCAATTATCTACATTTGAGAATAGGCTCCCTAACAGAGTGACAAAAGTCCAAAGCCTCATCTTGTACGCAAGCATGTCAATCCCTCACTGTGCAATCATGGTGTTCTTTTGGCATATTTCAATGAGATTGACCAAAGCCATTTACCACTGAGGGACCAGGGTCATCAAATATTGTAGTCAAATATATGCTGTAAAACAAGGGGTAGCTGGACAGTCAACATTCCAGATACCAATGTCCCCGCTCTCTGGCGTGGTGACCTTCGGAACATCACCGTGTGAGTGATCGGATATACAGTCGCATCAAATCTTCCTTAATTAGAAACGCTAGCTATAGTCCGTACGATCATTCTACTCCACACTGGTGGCTTGATCCTCATGTCGCATCATGTCCATATCTAATATTATTGGACAGCGACAAAGCTCCGATGGTATCAAGAGGATGCGCATTGGTCTTGTCATGCTTTCCTTGACTAAAGGGATGCAGCCACACACGTGAGGTTCTGGGGCACCTTTCACACGAATGTTGGGCTGGATATGAAAAAAGGTATGGTAGCAGAAACGATCCTGATTCTAGAATGGTGGGTCTTAGCAATCGCTCGGTGGATAGCTAACTAGCACTGCAGATCACTGATACTTTGTCCCCTTATGCAAGGCACACTACCCCTCACGGCTGGAAAGCCGGAAGTAGTAGACTTTGCCGGGCGCACACTAATCGCCGAGATAGACAGTGCTACATAGACTAGGCCTTATAAACCCCCTATGATCGTGGGATCTACCCGTAATATACATGCTCTTCTGGTCAGTGTCCGTGGATTTGAATAGGTACACAGGCGAGTAGCGCGTTTCAAGGCCAGGTATAAGTCGCACAGCAGGTTGTGGTGCCTACCTCGTCCCTGCTGCATGGGTATAGGGCATCGACACTCAAAACGTCTTTCTCAACAATTCCAGGCAGCCTAGCAGCGGGTGCTCCAACAGGGCTAGAAAAGCTCCGAGATCTCATTGGGATGGATATACCGAAACTAGTCAACCTCACCTTTGTCTTTGGGGCAGCATTGAAGTTTCTAAATTATATATCGACATCGGTATTGAGCTATCTCGACTATTTCACCACCAGTGTCCGTCTCGACGATGATGACCCCTTATATCAGCACGTCTTGAAGTGGGTATCTGACCATCATCCTCCAAAGCATAGGCTCTGTGCATGCGCACCAGAAGTGGTTACCCAAGCTAGGCAATTGAGACCAGGGCGGATGTAAGTCCTTATTTAGACAAGCAGAAAACAATGAACCCTGCCGGTGACGGACAGCCCGTGATACAGGCTGCTAAATATGTAGGTTCTCTCTCAACGTCTTACATGCTTCTCCAAGTTTAGCTGGCTTACACATGCCCATTAGCAAGTCATCGTTAATATCCAGGAGGCTGGACCCGACCTGGGGTCCTATCCCAATAAGTGAACCTTACGGATCCATCCTCCTCGGTCGGAGGTGCCAATGAGTGGGTCGGGGATGGGATCACGAATGCCGAATACAGATAGTAGGATGTTTGAACTATACATAACTTTGGAGAAAAGGGGCCCAGTTTTAATTAGCCCGCAAACCTTCTGGGAGAATTTTTCATATTGGGATCTCTTAGCTGCTCTGATCTGTGCTTCAGCTTGGGACGGGATTCGGGACGGGATTCAATTCCGATTCCCCGATTCACTCGGATGGTTATATGCCTTTCAAGATGGCCACGGACTAGTGATCGGGAGAGCCATTTAACTTATTACTATATACATATAACGGTACGTTGCCCATGGCTACCCTCTCACGAAGTACGGTACTGTTGTGTAGGTTGCATAATGGAGAAAGGTTTCTATATCAAGAATGTCTTATGGAGCTCATATCCCCACAGCGTAGAGTAAGTATATAGATATTGAGCAGTTTTCATTTAGAATATTCTATAGATAGTCAAGACTCAACCGTTAAATGTACATAGCACGGTCAATCAGTATAAAATAGATGGAATATACCTTGGTGACTTCAACATGGTAGAATGTTGCCGATAGTTAATGCTAAAATTATCCTCACCTAACCATCCTTCTTATTTAATATCAAACCCTTTCCTCCTTGCCATCAATAACACAAAGGCATAACTAGATCCAGATAGTAGACTTTATAAAATTGATTTGTTGACTCTGTGCTCGGATTTCGGACTTGAAACCCGGCTCGGAAGTACTGGAATGCTAAGTGCCGTCACCTACGCTTAAATATCTGGAATTCCTCTCAACACATTCTCTTTCTTCAGAACTTCCTTTTTGCTGAAAGTACTAACAAAGAATATCACCAAAAACATCATGGCATTTTTGTACCAAATGCTAGGAAGCAAAGTGTGGCCGCCCCGCGACACGAAACCCGATCTGACTGGACGGACTCTACTCATTACTGGCGCGGTATGCCTCTTTACAGAGCTATATACCGCCGACACCGAACTAACAACCGGTTTCTATCTAGAATTCCGGCCTCGGATATGAATCAGTGATCAAATTTGTTCGTGGTTCCGCCAAAAGAATCATCATCGGCGTACGGTCGGTCGAAAAGGGTGAGGAGGCCAAAAAGGCGATACTAGCCCAAACACACCCAAATAATGTCACCATCGACGTTTACCATCTAGATATGCTGGACTACACCACGATTGAGGCTTTTGCGTCGCGCGTAAATCGCGAGGTGGACCGTCTAGACTATGTTGTGCTCAATGCCGGCATTAGCCCTCATGCGTACAAAAAATCAGCCTACGGATTCGAATCGGGTCTGCAGGTTAATCTGGTCTCGACGACACTTTTAGCATTACTTCTCCTGCCTAAGCTACTGGCGAGCAAGATCGACGACTTCACCCCGGTGCTTGAATTCGTGGGGTCTGGCACACATCAGCGGATGCCGGAGCTGCTGCCGGATACTGATAACCCGGAGAAAGATATCCTAGATGTCTACAACTCAGAAGCCTCATTCAAGGCGTTCGGGTTTATTCAACAGTACTCATTGACAAAGCTCTTTCTCATGTATGTGCAGTGGCACCTTGTGAAGCTTGTGAACGATCAAGCTGGATCACCTCGAGTATACGTCGTTGTTGTTGGCCCCGGCCCGACTCGGTCTGCATTGGCAAGAGACTTTCAAGATCAATCCTTTGGAATCCGCGTCGCTATCAATACTATGAATCTGATGACGAAAACAGCAGAGCAGGGCGCAAGAACATATCTCAGTGGCCTTATGCTTGGCGAAGAGGGCCACGGGCAGTTTTGGCAATGGGACTCAATCAATAGGTGTGTATTGGAGACTAGGCACAAGTTTAAAGACACTAGATCGCTAATCGGAGTCAACAATAGGCCTGCAAAGTGGTGTTCGGACCCGAATGCTGTGATGCGATCGGAGCGAGTCTGGGCTAGCGTGCTTGCTGCTCTTGAAAAGGACTTCCCTGGAACTGGGAAGCTTGTAGAAGGGATGAAGGATGGACTCTCCACTTATTGAGAGGTCCTCGTCCCAAGGCGCTGTGAGACACAGTTGTCACGCTGCTTTATTGTTTGGGTGCAGAACGAGTGTCAGGGGCTGGGAATATAATGAATCATTGCAACCTTTGCATGTGAAGTGGTCTATTTGTCATGGATAATTGTTTGTGAATTATTCTATCGACCTTTGGAAATAAAGATGTACCTTAGTGTCGCTGAAGAGGTCTAAGTCCACTGTGCGCACTGGATCTTTCACTTAAGTATTTTCTGAATCATTGCCGTCCTCTCGTTGGAACTTCTATTTCGACCATCCATATTATTTGGAGACGGCTTAATATGGACTAAAATATTTCCTAACTAACATGAATCAGCGCTTGAAAACTAGGACAAGCTATGAATCAATTTAGGCAAGGATTTGATTCGTAAAATCAGCCACTTTACCAACGAGCTCCTCCGTCCACGTCAGATGAGGTGAGTGTCCGGAAGGCGCGTGATAAATTGTAAACTGGTTGCCCGCCTGTGTCTGAAGCGCGATCATTCCCTCTTGATACTCCTTGGGCAGAGTCAAGTCATGCTCCAGCACCAGGTATGCACATGGCAGAGCCGAGTAAGCATCGTTCGTAAGCTTGTCAGTATTGACGGGGGACGCAGTGAGAGTAGCTGTCCATTTTTCCGCGGACTCAGCGTCAAGACCATTGAAGAAATAGCGGGGGGCATCAACCGGGGTGCCAAGGCCCTTGACGCCGTGTTTCTGGTTTATTTAGCTTCTGATCTATCTTCTATCATCAACTGACACATACGTGGAATTTCATAAATGGTGGAGTGAAGATCGTGCCGTCTTTCGGCTGGAAAAAACTATGGATGGACTCGCCGACGGGGACAACGAAAGCACCCATGTAGAAGATGCCAACCAGGCCTCCTTTCTTGCCCTCACTCTGGCGAGACGTAGCTTGCAGTTCTGGGACGGCTGCCTGGGTCGCAACCCAGCCACCGGATGAATGTGCTACTAACAGGACGAGTTTCCCATCTTGGTTCACCAACTTGTCTAGAAGTTTGACAACGACGTTGACATCGTCGGTGTCGGTGGGGTAGCCCTCTGCTGGAGGCCCGATGTCGAAATCCGGGTTGTTTATATCCCCCACGTTGAGCTTGCTGAGATCACACGTTGGCCGGTAAGGACAGTAGGCTTCGAATCCTTGGGCCTGTAGCTGCTCGATGAAGGGTTCATACGGGGCGGGGCTGTGATATGAGCCATGGCAGATGACAATCGCGGGCTTCATCTTAATGCTTATTAGAAATATCAATCTTGGAAGGTTATGGCTTGGCGGGGATGAGTATGGCTGCAAAGTTCGATAAGCTCATAGCAGATGAACGGAACACGGCGACGTATTTATATTTCCAGAAGAGTCGCAGGTATGCGTGGGGGCCAAGAAAGCTCGCTGGAAAACTGTGCACTTGCAGGGATAAAGTGCACATCTTTGTTTGGTTAACGCATAGCCCCCGAGTGTCAAGGGGTTAGCTGATAGAACCTTGCCCTAAGTTACATGTGAACAGGGATAGGCCAAGGTATCATAGGCCATTGCGCCGCGATGCAGGGGTTCACATATTTATAGCGCATCTGTCCCTCCAATCAACCATTCATAAACTTCCAGGTGGATCACCTACTGGTTGTTCTTTGTTGAGGCTACTGGTAAAGTCTTGGGTTGTGTTGGTCTCCAGTCCCCGAATGGCCCAGACCCCTGCCTTGGAGGGAACATCCTATCTCGACAACGATAGTACAGACTTATGGGCGAGGCCTTGCAGTACATCTCGATCGGCTTCTGCTTCCTACTGATAGAGGTAATAATAAATATTCCGCTCCGGCTCTGAGGTTCGTCACTGATTTATTGGTAATATTCAACGCCTAGAAACATATCCAGGAGCACACACCCACGGTGCTCTCTCAACATTCAATGTAATTTCGTGTGATGGAGGCCTGAAATGAGCTACATGAATAGGAAAACGATAGGAGAAATACGTTTTAGTGAGGAATACAGGCACAACAATCAAAACCAAAATATATGAGGGACGAAAAAAGCGAGAGCGATCTGTCATATAGTATACTGACAGCCGGAACGCTATTAGCTCAATGAACGTGGTGTTCATAGTGTCCATATCGCTCTTCCCTTTCATTTATTACGCAAGGATGCCAGGAACCTCTCCTTCATAGGATGTATCTCTGCCAGAATCCGTCGCCGACCGCGTATCGCTTGAGAGGCCCCATAGAGGTAGTCAAGACCACAGTAGGCACGTTGCCAGTTGAGTGCATCGAGGTCCGGCAGTTCGTACTGTTCCAACGTGAGCTGCTTCCTGAATATTGTACGCCAATAAAAATAGGGGATTTTAGGAGCCAAAAGGGGAACACCAGCATCAAGTGTAGGATCTCCTGAGATCCAGGTAGGTAGTCCATGCATGATCTGGAGAATAAGTTCCGACGGAAGGAAACGGGCCGCGCTCGACGTAATCCCAGATCGCAAGTCCATTCCCTGTGTGAAAGATACTTGCATAAACACCCTGCTAAGCGGCATACCGAGGGATACGTATAACTGATCAACGCCATCATTTGAACGTTGCTTGTGCCTCGCGACGCGATATCTCTCTTCTTCTTGCGCAAGAAACGCTCGGAGCTCAAGAAAGCTCAAAGGATCTGCCGGGGGAATAAAATTCGCCCTACGACCTGCAGCCCGTGATGCCCATGGCAGAGCATTGATGAATTCCTTCAGATGAGCCTTGATGACATTGACATCCAGAAGACGCGTCATCAATATCCAACACCCTTCATGCATAGCATATCCAGAGGCTCCTGTTTTACGACGCATCCTGTGCGGGATTTCCAATGGGTACGCCTCTGTGAGCTTTATACCCATGCTCTCCTCCAATGGGGTGCAGAAATAAAACTGATCGCTATCCTCCGGTGCCTGGATTAGGCAGTCGTGCCCATCAACAACTATGCTAACCCCAGTGAGACAGAACGTTTTCGTCGATGTCTCATATATAACTACTTCACGTCAGCTGTGCTGAATCATATAGCAGGTGGCAGCCAAACACACTCACCCGATATAGCCAAGCCCACATCCAAGGCTTCCGGAATTCCGCATTGTGCAAATCAGAGGTTTGGCTGCTCAGATAGCCTTGGTTGTCGAGGCATGCTCTCCACTTAGCAGATACTTTAAATATGCTATCTTCGCTTGTCACACGGTCTCTTCCACCGGGCTTTTGGCCAATCCATTCTCCGCATATCGCGCAGAGTCCAAGATCACAACCCGGGATGGGTCGTAGTGACCCAAATGGAGCCATTTGTTGCCGTTTGTAATTGTGCAGATGAGGCTGATAGTCGGTTGACTGAGAAGGATAGTGTGTGACGTGGCGTAGGCAGAGCCATCCAATCATCATATCATAAGAATGACGGAACTATGTGACAGTGTGAGGTTTGCGGCGAGCCTTTGTCAAAGCCTACTGGGTCATGAGGCTTAGTAGTTCCGGCGGCCTCGGTTCCCTGGTAGGTCTTCCACTTGCGGCTCGTTGTAAAATTACTCTTCCCACTTAACTCGTAGTCCCTCTTCGATTGAAAGTTGGCGAAGTCGTTTCCCTCTACTATTCCACTGATCTAACATGGCTCACTGAGGACATGCAGTCTGGAAGCTGTAGGTTCACACTATATATGATTGGTCACAAGCCTCCCCTGATGGAATGTATACAGGCAATCCAAACAGATAAACCGTGGTCTACTACAATGGCCGTCAGGAAAAGTTCACGTGTCGGTGATCTGTTTGTCTGGTTCTTGGGCGGTTAAACTAGCAATAAACCATGTCCGTATATAGCATTTTCCTCCAGTGCAGCCTTGAGCTGGGTAAATGTGCCCGTAATAATGTAGTCAGTTCCATACTCCTGCTAAGCAATTCACACTATGCGTTACTCATAATCACTGACGTATGTATTGCTTATTCCTCTGGTGCCTGACAGGGGTCAGGTTGTGTTGATTCATGTGTCGACTTCTGAACGTATGGAATTTCTATTGCAAAGGAAACTACAGAACAGCACAACGCAGCGAAAACTGAAAAGCAGCACTGACCATCAAAAACAGGTCAGAGGTGCCCCCTCACATCTCTTATCACCTTCGATCGGTGGAATATAGGAAGTCAACTTCACCTGAGCCAACCCATATAGGTGTGCGTCATCCAACGCAGTCACCTCCGCACATCCAAGCATACCGAGCCCTTTCAGGGCCCATAGCATGTGAGTGGTGGATTCTGATTTCATCACGATTCTACGTTTAATTGCGCAATGTCAGGACCCTGCTGGTGGAGCCGTACGGGAGGTCAAAGAGAAGGCGAATCTGCCTACGCATGCAGTGGGGATGCTCCTACTAGTGAGCTTACCTTTTGGGAGAGAAGCTCCGGCAGTAAGATTATAACAGCATTCAAAGTGAAGTGGTCCGATGGGAGGGAGTCGGCAACGTACGGATATACACCCGGTGCCACCATCAAGGTTGTTCGATTGGTGTACGGTGAGTTTTTCAAGTCATTGACACAGTATTGGACCATGGAAGGAAAGAATCGGTCCTTTAGTGGCTGGAAGGGGACCACCAACTTAGGCAGGGTGGTCAATGTCGGGTACACGTGGGGAGACGCTCGTGCCAATGAAATTACGACTCTCTATAGCGGGTTATGCGTGGGTTTCGGGGCCAGTCTTGATAAAAAGCAAGCTCTGCTTAACGTGGGTGGTGTCTTCTTCTTACGCAACATCCAGCTCGCAGCCATCAAGATGAACTATCTTACTCTACCCACCGTGGAGATTCAACCTGTTTTAGTCGACAACACCACGGACGAGAATGACCGTGAAGCCCCGCTGGAGGTTCCGTGGAGTAAAACAGTTGAACTAACCAACAAGGTTACTACGTCCAAAACTTTCGTCGAGGAATTAGGCGTCCCCACTGTTGTGTTGAGTAAGGGGTTTGGTATCAACCCAAAAGACACCACCAACTGCATGGACACCGAGGATATCAGCAACTCTACCTCTTACTTGACGACAACAAGTACCGAATTGTCCAGGCCCTACGAAGTTCCAGCCGGTCGAACGTATCAGAGGACCGTGGTGTACTCCAGAGGCACTTTCAGAGTCCAATTCCGTCCCCAATACACCTTCACTCTACGTTCAGGAGCCACAGTGAATTGGCCTGAAGGCCCGGTCCAGGACGCCTTCGGTGTCGTCTCCGGAAACTTGCATGATATCCTATCTGTAGCAGTAGACTCCCCATGTGAGACTCCGCATCTGCACCTCCAACTGTATATGCATAGTTATAATCCCGATACCGCAGATTTAAGGGTCTATTGTGTTAGATCTGCTGTATATCTCAATCGTTAGTTTCCCGGTTAAGAGATGCTTGCTCTAAATTTGACACCTATATGCCTGGTCACTCACCACTGAAGAAGCAATCTTTGCTGAGTGTCCATTCTTCTCCGCTATAAGAGGAACTGTACTATACTAACTCCTGTGCATTGCTGCTTGTGGTAATATTCAGCCTAATTCTTTTTATAATCAACTTGTGTCTAACTACAACTTGCATCCGCCCCTAATCTATGAAGGAACACTTAACAAGCTATACTGTCTATAAAGGGTACTTTATCATCACATCAGATCCGCCTGAGAAACCACCCGAACCAACCACCTCAGTCCTGCTTCAACCCCACCCTCCCCGCCTTCCTAAGCCCGAAGAACCCAACCAGCGTGCAAACAATCATCGACCCAAACATCGCCCAAAAGCTCGCCCGATACCCATCCATCAAGGCATACCTCTCCTTGGCAGCCCCCGACTGATCCGTCACCACCGTCGAAATCACCTGCAACACGGCCAGTCCCAGGGCGCTCCCGAACTGCGCCGAGGTGTTGAACACCGCGCCAGCCAAAGCCTGTGTGTCGTCTGGAAACACATCGGTAATAACGATTAGACCGACGGTGAAGAGCGCGTCGAAGCTAACGGGCTGCAGGATCTGCGCGAAGAAAGCGTTCCCCCAGTACGGCCAGGAGGGTTGGATGACGGCCATGAGGAGCGGGGAGCCGGCACAGAGGAGCGAGGTGATGGTGACAATCCAGACGGCGCGGATTTTGTGGACGAACAGGCCGATAATGAGGTTGAGGAGGGCGCCCACTATCAAACTGGGGAGGATGCGGATGGATGCTTGTAGGGCTGAGAGGTATTGGACCTCTTGGAAGCTAAAGGGTTGTTAGTGGGGAGCTTTGGTGGGGAGGGGTCATAAATTGTGGGTCGGCTTACAATAGACTGGCGAAGAGCTCCATGGAGTTGAGGACGGCGTTGGAGAGGGCCACGGTGGCGCAGACGCTGGAGAAGGACGTGTTTCTCCACAGGGCATTTGGGATTAGGGCTACTTTGTTCCGCTTGACTCGGTGGTGGGAGGAGACGATGAAGAGCGGGAGGGCGATTGCTGCCAGGCAGAGGATGACGATGCTATCGACAGATTTGATGCGCGAGGGGTCTGCACTGACGATACTGTTGTCTGGTTAATTTTGGTTCGATGTTCCTTATGGGGGCACTACGTACGCTAGAAGGTAACAGAGTAGGGCCATGAATGCGGAGGCCAGAAAGGCACCAAGCCAGTCGATCTTCGTCCGGACATTGTGGAGGAGGCTTTCGTCTTCGGCTCTTTTGTTCTTGGGCAGGGTCCACACCGCGATAAGTGCAAAGAAGAGCGTGATTCCTCCGGCAATGTACCATCCTGCTCGCCAGCCAATCGTATCGACTAGAACGCCTCCCACGACCAGTCCGAGTGAGAAGCCGAGGGGTTGACTGAGACCGATGCACGAGAACGCAAGGTTACGGCCTCTACCTTGGGGCAGCAGCTGGGTGATGATAGAGATCGAAGAGGCCAAATGGAAGGCCAGGCCAACACCTTGCAGGGCCCTCATTACGACTAGCCCTTCTCCATTCCGAGCTAGCCCTTGCCCGATCATCAAGGCTCCGCTGGAGAAAGATCCGACCAGTTCAACCCATCGTGGGCCAATAGTATCCGCAAGAGAGCCAGCAAGAAGAAGTGTGGACGCAGTAGCAAGACTGCTCACAGATGAGGGCCAGAAAGCTAAGGAAGATGGCAGATCAAGGTCTTTTGTGATGGTAGGCAGTGCGATGGTCACCAGGCCGTTGATCAGGCTTGCGGTCAGAGTGACTCCGACGAGCTGAACTATGACTACGACCTGCTGCAGGCGAGTTTTCTTGATTGCTTCTCTATCCACGGAAGATACGGACGATACTGAGGACGCCAAAGGTGGCGACTCAATTTGCGCCGTCATCGTTGTTGTAGTCGTCGGTGCCATTTTGATCGCAAGAATGCTTCTGGGGAAAAAGGCGGAAATGCCTCGATACCCGTCATCGTGGGCATCTGGAGTCGGAAAAATTTGGCCCGGTTGAAAATATGGAGACGCGAGGGTTTTAGCAACTCAATTACTTAATGGGATCCAGTTTCGAGTCGGAGATTCTTTGGCCCATCTGATTAGATCCCAGTCTAGCCGCATCGAGCAAGAATATCCTCAATGATGTACTTACACTTTCACTCCGTCGCAAGTTTATCCAACTTTATTTACGCAATTCTATACTTAGCAGCGGCTAGGGAGAGATCGTTTCGGATGGTGTTCTGGCCTGGAGATGAACAGCCTCTGCCATGATCAAGTACTCAAGCGCTTATTGTGAATAAATGACACATTCTGAGGTAAAACAGACATACACTTGGGATATGTACAAGACTGGACAGATCAACATTGACTCAATGAGTCTAAGGTCTCTGCCTGGTGGTTGCGTACCGGACCTCGAATCACGCCATGCTGCAGCATTTGTCGCCGTATAAAATTCTGAGCCGGAATCCCTCCGAGTCTTGGCTCGGGATAGCCTTCCTAATTCTCTGAATTGACGTGATCCTTGGCCACTTGGTGATGATGGAATCTGCACCGAAAATCACGGAAGGGGCCAAATGTTATTTCTGGCCACTCTCCAGTGCTCGTACCTTCTGCGTATTAGGGAAAGAGACGCGATCTGTCGAAGCCTGACTTCAACGGCGCCACAGGGACGCCTGTTCTAGCCCAAAGCCATGTGTAATAGAGTTTGCCGAACTCCGAGGGTCTTTGCCAATCCCCGAATTGCCACGAGGGGAGGGCGAGAAAGTCACCAATAATCAGAATGCCCTGGTGGGTAATCTGGGTGGAAGTTCCCACTTGGCGTCGTCGTCAGCCCTAACCGCCCGCCGACTCTTTGGCACGTGCCACACGGTCGCTTTCTCTTTATCAACCCAACCCACAGTCAATGCCATGCTTTGTCCAAGCTTGAAAAGTCATATAGCCAACTGTGCCATGTGGGGCTTGTAGACATAACTAAGGGGACTTAAGAGCACTTCAGCGTGATAGATCACTGTTTTGGGTGCCAGTGGTAAACGATAGTGCAAGTTACCCTTTATATATGTTTCGGATACTACCCTCTTCCCCAGATATACGTATAGTCACCAAAGGACAGAATAAAACCTCGTGCAGAGCACTAGTATTGATTTCTTTCTCAAGTCCGAACAGTACATCTGGGCCATAGTTTATCTTTCCGTCGGGTAGATAGAAAAGAAACATCCGAGGTGGTCGTTGTTGCAAAGAGCGTAGAATATTGCAAATATCCTTGTGTAGGATCTCACTGTCGCGGCAGCTATATACACAACGCAGCCAGCATTATGTCTGCAAGAAATGAGAGAGGCCACGCGTATACACTAGATAGAGAGAGGGTTGGATGACCTAGACGATAGTCACACCTGGTGCAGTTGGCGTGTAGAACAACTATTCAACGTCAGACAGAGGATCCCAGTACCCTGAATGAGTGAAACGTTACCGAGTGTAACCCACCACACCCTAGCATATACTACACGAATGATCCTGTTTGATGTGTGCTTCCTCAGTGAGTGTCACGGAAAACTGCAAGACTGACGTCAAGGTAAGTTTAAGTTGTTGCACAATAGATATGCCGAATTTCAACATAGAGAAAAGCGTGTGGGTATATTGATTAAGTTCTTGGATAGTAAACACTGCTCGGCGCGGGAGCCATCCCACGCCATAGTTACATTGAAGAAGAGAAGACAAAGGAAATTAATATATGCAGGGAGCTGAGCCTTCGCTGGAGAATTGTAAAACAGGAGCCATTAGGAAGCAAAGTGAGGAGCGTTGAGGAAGAGACCCATGAGAACTCCACCCAGAGTGCCAGCAATAGGAATAGTCATAACCCATCCAATCATGAGCAGGAGAACTCGTTGCCAGTTCACGGCTCTCCAGGTACCGTTGCAGAGACCCACACCCACGGTAGCACCCGTGATACACATCGAGGTCGACACCGGGAGGGAGTACTGCGAGAAGATGAGGACGGTCAATGCGGCACCCATCTCCATGGAGCAACCACGACTTGGCGAATGGTAGGTGATCTTATTACCCATGACTGTACAGAAATAATAATTAGCTAAATAAACTCAACATGTTATCGGACCGACATCGCTTACCCTTCATAATGTTGTAGCCATAGGTGATGAGACCAGCAGAGATAGTGAGGGCAAGAACAGCGAGCTGCCACACGGGAACAGGAGCCTTGGATTGCTGAGCATCACCAGTCTTCCAGGCAGAGTACATCACCGCCCATGGACCCACGGAGTTTCCAATGTCGTTGGCGCCGTGAGCGAAGGAGGCCGTGCACGCGGTCAGAACCTGAACGAACGAGTAGGTGTGTTCCACTTCATTGGGATACTTCGGGGCGTGTGCGTATACCCGGGCCATACGCTCACCCTCCGGGGTGCCATGAATACCCGATTGAGCGGCGTGGATATCGTAATTCATACCGTAGAGAAGACCAACCGTGATCATAGCGGGGATACGCTTGGCCAGTCGTACCATGTTTCGCCATTCGTAGATCTCACCGGCGCCCATGGGGTTGTCCCGCAAGGTGCGCATCGCCCATCCGAGAGGGCCACGCTTCTTCATGAGTCTGGCATGGAACCGTGCCTCGCCCTGAGCGACGAGCTCTTGGTATGTAGCCTGAGTTTCGGCCATGACGAGCGCCTTTTCCTTGGTATGGGTTTGGTCCTTGGCGGTCTCATCCGTCGTGGAGCCAGCAGTCGAGGGAACGGATGTCATATCATCGTGCTCATCCTGGACGACGGCGTAGTCGGGAACCTTGGCTTGTTCTCCCACGTTGGGGGACTGGCGCGTGAGGAGGAGGGGGCCAAGGATGAACATCCACCACTTCACATCCTGGTCTTTCTTGATCACCCGCGCATGCACAAAGGGAACGAAGAAGATAGCCGATAGCAGAGCAACACCACCACCACAGCCCATGGTCA